ACTTCAGATACATCTTCATTCTCCAAATAAATTGAATTTTCGTTTGGAATTTGTTACTCGAGCAAAAAATGACATTTTGCAGATAGGATTAATCTGGCAAATATATACAGGACAGGGTGTGCCAACAAACTTGGGAATTTAGTGACGAATTCAATATAGTATTTTTCAATAATTCTTTGATTTAGTAAAAAGATACCTACTGAGAAAGCTGTAATCTGTAAGATTTTCGTCTGCTTTGTTCACATTTTGTTTGTGCATGTTTTGACTGTATACGGTTGTAACAAGAAAATTGCAGTATAAAATCAGAGTAAACTTGTCCACCTTCACTGTTTATCTTGCAGTGACATTTTAAACACATCTTTACAGTCTTTAACCCATTTCATAAAATAAACTTTAGCAGACATAATAATATTATGGCTTTTGAAATTAGGTATTACAATGCTAATTCATAACTAAGACGATATCGAATTCGTCACTGAATTTCCATGTTTTTTGGGACACTCTGTACATACTCAGACACGATGGGCCAACTGTAGCTTTAAAGGGACTGTACACGTACTTTCAAGTGACTCTCCATTTTAGGATTGGAATGCTATGTGTGCCATTTTTGGCCCTATAATTTTACAAATCAGATTTCATTAACTACATTCTGGAAAGAAACTGATTCTGATGATATTCTCCTAACATATTTTCAGTACGATATATTTCAAACTTTGACTATTGATCTGACAGAATTCATAGTTTGAAAAAGAAATGAATATCGACTTCATCATGTTGCAAAGATATAATGATGTGAAAATAACACTATGAGTAATCAGTTCCGACATCTCTAAAGAAGTTGCACGACAATTTCTTGAGAGGGCAGGTCGATGAGAAACTAAAGATTCTCATCTATGAGGAAATCTCATAGAATAAATAAAAATATTATCACAGCAACAACAAAAAAAATGTTTAAAAACAATGTTTAAGAAAAGTCCAATGCAGATTAAATCATGCATATTCAGTCTTGAAGTCAAGGTTGTATAATAAGGTTGCTTACTCTCAATGCGCTCAAAAGTACGGAAAATGTTGTCTCCTTAGCATAGATAGATAAAATCCTCATTACGTCACTGATTATATAGGAGATTATGCTAAGGAGACGACTTTTTCCGCACATTTGAGCACATCGAGAGTAAACAACCTTATTATACAACCTTGCTTGAAGTTGTGACCAGATTTCTAAAAGTATATTTACGTGCTCAACCTTTATCATGATGGCCCTAGATGTCCTTTTTTAAGTCCATATTTTTAACAAATAAATTTTTAAACTTGACTATCAGGTTCTGTGATCATCTAATCTTTACTCCTACCATTTCCTAGACTACTCGCTAGTAGGTATATATATGCATATCTTTGACATTTCTTATTAGAAATTTTTCATTTTTCATGGAAAGTGAAATTAAAAGTTTTAAATTCTTACCTCACATATAAAGTACACTTTTTATTGTTAAAAATAAATTTTACTCTCACAATTCTTATGAAACAATTTTGGTATTACACAATAACCATGTATCTTTAAACTATTTAAGGATTTTTTTATATCAATTTTCAACTTTCTCAAATTTTACTATAATGAAAACGTGAATAAAAATCAAGATTTTTCAAAATTAAAGACAAAAATATGGAGGAATGGTTGCAGAAATAAAAAGGAAAAAGTGATTAATTAAAAAAAATCCAAAAAGGAAAAAAGCTAAAAAGGAAAAAAAGGAAAAGAGCTTAAAAGGGAAAAAAGAAAAAAATAGATGAAGCAAAATTAGAAGTGTAAATATTCAAAAGAGAAAAAAGAGAAAATATAACTTAAAGTGAAAAAAATCAAGAGATACAACACGGAAAAAATACAGGGAATATAAAAAGTGATATAAAGAAGAACGAAATAGCGGGAAAATAAAGATACTAAAGGAAGGGGAGGGTTCCAAATGATAATTGGCCGGGGACGTTTTACACTTTAATGATTTTTTCAGCATTAGCTCTGGGAAACCAAGAGCAAATTATTGATTTTGGATTTATTACTGTTGTACATACTGTACAAGCAGGGTGTCCCATACAGCACTGCTTGCATTTATATAATATACCGTAAATATACTGTTGTACATACTGTACAAACAGGGTGTCCCATACAGCACTGCTTGCATTTATATTATATACCGTGAATATACTGTTGTACATACTGTGCAAACAGGGTCTCCCATACAGCACTGCTTGCATTTATATAATATACCGTGAATATACTGTTGCACATACTGTGCAAACAGGGTGTCCCATACATGGGGCCTTTGATGTAATTGAAATTGTAACATGCATGATTCACAACGACACCCTTTAACCCCTCTTCTGAGTAAGAACGATATTTTTGTCTTTCTCTTAAAAATTGATAATTTCTAATTAATGTTTATTATTCTGAGTGTTTTGAGGACTTTTTTTTAAAGAAAAACAATGAAATCTTCCCAAGTTCTGCTCAGATAAAGATGTAGAGGTACCGTTGTTAATCGAGCATGTCATTTTTTATGCTCATTCAAAATGGCGTTAACGGTCTCTTTATTCAATTTATAGAAAAAAATATCTAAAGAAAATGCAGTAAAATAAGCTTTCTAAACACAAAAAAATTGGAATTTTTTGAGACACCTCACGTTCTTTGGTCACTTTATACTTTTCACATAATAACCCTGTACATATTTTTCACATTTTCACCCTGTACATATTTTTCACATAATCACCCTGTACACATTTTCAAATACTTTATTTTTCTGCATAAACATATACAACATGTGGCTACACCATTAAATACAGAGTGGTTCTTTCATACCTTCATACTTGCAAAAACAACGTAGAAATCAACCCACATTAAACAAAAGCTCATTTATTTTTTTAGTTTAAAATCTAGCATGTTTTCAGACAAACTCCTCTCCTAAAGAGCTATTGATAACAATAATTTTAAAATCTCTACTCAAGTTTTTTTGCTCTTGGTTGTAAAATGAAAAGCCTAAAAGTCACGAGCTCGCAAAGTCGTACCACTAATTCCACCTAAAATAAGCTTTGTGCTCATTTTGTTCAATAAAAATCTTATATTTCAAAAAACAATCTTTTAACAAGTAGATGTTATCCCAATAGCGCTTGTTTCGTTATTTAAATAATTAGCTTTTTTCAACCTTTTTATCTGTGTTCTGGATTAGTGCGTACGCATGTTTAAGGTGTATTGCGTATATAATTACGCAAAGGCTAAAGTGTGGTCCAAGCTTAATACACGTGTTCAACCACATATACGCTCAAAAACTAACCAACATGAAGCCTAATCTTACCATTCAACTATTCATACAGACACATCCTTACACCCTGCAATCCGTTGTCTAGGTGAAAGGGGAAGAATAAGAATAATTTATATGATATAATAAAACTTCAAATATTCTTTTCAGCAATTAATTGTTGCAGCTATATCGCTTCGTTTTCGCTTCATTTATTTTAGCGAAAAAATGTGAAATTTAGCAAAAAAGTTTACGAAATACGACCGAAAATTTTCGCATTTTTTCGCGAAAAGTGATTTCGATCGCTGGAAACCATAGGATATATTTCTGCTCATCGGTGATTTTGTCAACGTTCCATTGATCAATGAAACGTTGAATTGCAATTTAACGTTTTTTGATTATAAGGATTTCTTTTGCGTATTTTTTTTATCTTAAATTATAACATCCAGCCAAATGGCTTAAACATTTTACAGAAATCGATTTAGACGAGATTTTAATGTTTATTTTTGAAATTTAGATTGCAATATTTTCCTTAATGCAAGTGCATTCGGCCAATCTTTGCATATTCACAGTTGATATTTGCAAGAAACGAAAATTCAATCTAGCTTTAATTTAGAATATTTAGTCACAGTTATTAGGCACATTTAAGGGGCGGTTTGCGAAATTTCCAGTGACTGGGGAGTTTCGCATGCCCGATTCACATTGGTACCCTTTAAATCTTCGTTTTTTGAATCCTGGAAACCCCGGTTTAAAATTCGGGATCACGTGAGATTTTGCAGTCACTCCCTTTAAATATAAAACTGCAAACCAATAAAGTAAGTTTAATAAACATTAAGAATAATTTAAAAATTTTGTGAAGCTTGCTTTATTTAGTATTTAATATTTATTTAGTATATTTTATAATACTAAAGGGTGTCCCATAAAAAGTAAGATTAAGCATTCAAAAGTTTGAAAATGGTTCACAAATTGAAAAAATACATTTTTAAATACAAAAAAAGACTTGAAAAGTTATAATTGCTAGTTTTAAACCACACTAGGGTGTACGTATATATATATATATTTGCACCTATTATGGGCGCCGCAGTAATCAATATTATGATCCTATATAACTAATAAGGAACACAGTCGATATATGCACTAACTATGCACGCTGCCTGTTTTACACTGCTTTAACTTCAATCTACGCCTGTGTAGTGTATTCTAACAATCATAAAATCAAATATTTTACTCTTAGAAATGTATATAACTAGCTTGCGAACCCAGCTTTGCCTGGAGTTTTTTTCCCTAGAAAAGTCGACCCACTTAATTTAGAATTGCTGTGTTACATCATCAAATTTTGAGGCAAATCGGTCGAGGGGTTCCTGAGTTATAATTGGACATCCAAACATCCAAACAGAGATTACTACTACATATAAATGTAGATGAGAAACATTGGCATAAAAACGTACTTTTTGTTGCTAAAGGAATTGAGCTTTTGCCCCAAACTCAAATTTTCTAATCCCATATCTTTGCGACCTAATTTGTTGTAAACCTTGAATATTTCAAACTTAGATCATTTGATAACAGAATTCTTAGTTTGAAATATCTAAGGTTTACGACATTCGCACGCAAAGATAAAGACAGTAGAAATACAGATTTTGTGGCAAAGACTCAATTCCTTTCGATATTTGCACATATGTATCTTTAGATATTTGATTTGCATTAATTTTTCCATGTTTTCAGGTTTTGCTGGACAAAGCTGTCAGCTATGTGGACGATATTGTTAGACAAGTCCCGATTCGTTCAGTCCAGGTCCTTGTACCCAGACATTGGGATTTCTCAAGGTATAGTTTATTCTTATCTTTATTATAATTTTTCATCATTGTTGTATCATGACGTAGATTTCCTTGCTTCTATAAGTGTTAAAATAAAGTACAGAAAACCCCATGCCAATATGCACTCGAGTTATCAAAGATATTCCTAATTTGAAAATGGTCGTAAGACACTCTTTAAATAAAAAAATCAGTTGAAATAAGTTTAACAGTCCCTTTAAAGAGACGGGATGAAATATTGTACTGTTTAGGTGTAGTCTACAGGATGGTGGAAGAGGACCCAGAACCACCACCTATGGAAAGAGTTCTGGAGATTTGGATATTCTCATTGGAAGTTCAAATCCTGGATTTCAAAACACACCTTGGGCTCTGCAACATAGGTATATACTTTAAATACACCTTGGGTTCTGCAACATAGGTATACACTTTAAATACACCTTGGGCTCTGCAACATAGGTATACACTTTAAATACACCTGGGCTCTGCAACATAGGTATACACTTTAAATACACCTTGGGCTCTGCAACATTGGTATTCACTTTAAATACACCTGGGCTCTGCAACATAGGTTTACACTTTTTTTCAAATAGCTTTTTTTTAGTTTGTTCCCATTCTATTGTAGGAATATTACATTTTTATTCTAATAATTTTTAAAAAAAACTTTTAATTAAATATACTGTAGGGGTTGTGGGAGAAGAGGTTTATACGTGAATCTGCCTATAGAGTTCATTGGACACAAGGATACAATCCTCAATTCAGAAGATAAAGGTAGACACTTTTAATAAAAGTTAGGGAACTGAATGCTCGCCTCAAAATCTATATTCTTATCTCTATATCTTTGTAACCTTTGCTATTTGACATGTTAACTTCTACTATTTGATATTGTAAAGTTCATTGTTTAAAATATCAACAGTTTTTTGATATGGTTGCATGATACATAGGGATTAGAAAATAAGAGTATGAGGCAAGTAATCAGGATGGATCAAAAGAGGCGGGTTTAGAGTAGATATGAAGAGACATATAAAAAGAGAAGGGTTCAGGCTGGATTAGAAGAGAAGGGTTCAGGACGGATGAGAAGAGAAGGGTTCAGTATAGATGTAAAGAGAAGGGGTCAGAACGGATGAGAAGAGAAGGGTTCAGGCTGGATGAGACGAGAAGGGTTCAGGACGGAAAAGATGAGAAGGGTTCAGTAATCAGTATAGATGTAAAGAGAAGGGTTCAGGTTAGATGAGAAGAGAAGGGTTCAGGTTAGATGAGAAGAGAAGGGTTCAGGTTAGATGAGAAAAATAGGGTTCAGAATGAAGGAGAAGGATTCAGGAAGGTGGAGAATAGAAGGGTTCAGGATAGAAGAGAATAGAAAGTTTAAGGACAGATGAGATATAACGTGTTTAGGACAGATGAGAATTTAAGGGTTCATGACGGATAAGAAGAGAAGGGTTCAGGACGGATAAGAAGAGAAGGGTTAAGGACGGATAAGAAGAGAAAGGTTCAGGACGGATAAGAAGAGAAAGGTTCATGATGGATAAGAAGAGAAGGGCTCAGGACGGATAAGAAGAGAAGGGTTCAGGACGGATAAGAAGAGAAGGGTTCAGGACGTATAAGAAGAGAAGGGTTCAGGACGGATAAGAAGATGAGGATAGTTGGGACATTTTATACCATCTTAAAGGGACAGGAGGATAGTTGGGACATTTTATACCATCTTAAAGGGACTGGAGGATAGTTGGGACATTTTATGCCATCTTAAAGGGACTGGAGGATAGTTGGGACATTTTATACCATCTTAAAGGGACTGGAGGATAGTTGGGACATTTTATACCATCTTAAAGGGACTGGACGCGTAATTTCAAGTGATCATTCATTTTAAGAGAGGAGAATGTTCGATTCAAAACAGTACCTTTCAAACCTTTGTCTTGATAAAGATTAATGAGGCTTTTCCAATTGAGTCTTTGCCACAAACTCTGATTGCAATACAAATCCCTACATGTTTTCAACCCAATACTGTAGAACTTATTTCAACTTTTGAATTATGTTAGATCAAATAATATTAAACTTGAAATATCAAAGGTTTACACTATTAGGTTGCAAAGATATTGCGATTAGAACATTTTAATTTGTGGCAAAGACTCAATTCCTTTTTTTATTTGTAATCTATATAAGAAAACAAGACATTCATATGTAAATACTATGCTGGCCGGCCAAACGGCTGGAAAATATGTGCTGATTTTTTGTGTGGACGCTCATTTTTATTTTTATTTTTTTCTTCAAAATATTTTCTCCCCTCGGCCAACGCTGGTCTTATCAGCTAGTAGTTATCTATTAGCTGTACAAATTACTCGCGGATTTACGCTGCAGAGGCAATGAAGGAACTTGTGAGAAAAGGGAGGCGATATCTTCCTCATTTTTACTCAGATTAGGAATGAAAAAAAACTTTTGTGAATTGGACAATGCTGCTCTTTAAATGGGGGTTCAATTATTAAAAAGGTTCTTTAAAGAGAAAATTACGCGCAATTTAATAGTGATCGATACAATAATGAAAAGTATAGATTTATAAATACAATTTTTAGTTGATTTGTAAAAAGTTAATTATGATTGAGATCTCGATATCTGCAAAAAAGTTATGAACATTATATAATTTTTTACTTTAAGAGATTCATGTTTGTAAGAGCAAAAACTTGTCAGAATTTCTACTTTACTATAATTATGCTGCTTGTTGTGGGAATCCTCCAACCAGCCTTGAAATTGTAGAGACAACTTGGAAAGGGATAAGCTTACTTTAACACAAAACTGATAATTTGGCTGAAAAACATAAATTTTTATCTTCTCAGAAGAAAGTTTGATTCAATGTATTTTGGCCAAAACAATTGAGTTTTTGCCAAAATCTCTAATATTTGAATCCCTAAATCTTTGCAACCCAATGCTGTACACCTTTGTTACATCAAACTATAAATCCTGTTAAATCAAATAATATAAGTTTAAAATATTAAAGGTAGCACAGATTTAGGGATTGGAAAATTTGAATTTGTGTCAAACACATTATCTATCTTTTAGTTTTTCCCCGTAAAATTGTTTTTTTCTGAATGTTATTGTTTTCTGTAATCTATTAGATGTGAACAGGACTATATCGAAATTATTGGGAAAACTATGACATTAGATTTGACGCTCAATTTTTTCAAACATTAAAAAAAAAGTCTAAAAATTATCGATATGATTCTCAACAGTTTGGAAAGCATAGAAAACATGTTGAAAAGGAGAAACGTCATAAAACAAAATAAATATTGAGAGTGCTGAAGATTCAAAGGGAAGAGATTATCCGAAGGGGAAAAAAGTTGATTTAATGATGAGAATCCATCCAGTTCAATTGCGGACAGGGTGTACAATAGGATGTGCATATAAACAGGGTGATTAACCGATGTTTTACAACATTTAAACTAAAAAATTATTGGAAATTAGATAATTTTTTACAGTTTTCTCTTTTCAGAATTTATTAATTTACAGTTTTTTTGTGGATTCTCAACTAAACATTGGACACCCTGTATCAGGGCAGAGATTAAGGGCAGGATGTGGGAAGGATGATGAGAAAGTGTAAGAAAGTTAAGGATTAAAGATGGAATGGAGTTGGATTATCTCTTCTGATTATAATCCGGACCCCAAGTACCAGATGTCCAGAATAGTTTTTTTATCAGGTTTTTTTATAGTTTAAATATTTTTTTATTAGGGTACTATATCGACTTTTAAAGCGTTTTGGACCCCATTCCTTTTAAAAAGTAGTTTTGACGTTTTTTGAAAACCAACAACCAAACCAAACTAAGCAGCCAAATATATCCATGGATCGGATGAAAATAAAAATACAAAGAAAATTTTCATTTCCAAATATGTGATATTTCTTTTTTACGGATTTTAGGACAGCATGCGAGACTTGACTTTTTAATCCCTAAATAGATATTTCAGTTTCCCAGCTTAAACTCAGTAATTGGAGACTAACAACATTTCAAATTTCTAGATTTGTTTTATTAGTTTTTGAACGCCATTCTTTTAAATTTAACACGATCTTTTGTTTGAAAACATTTTCCTTCAAACCATTTTTAAACAATGAGATTTTTTGTTATCGTTTGTAGGTTTCTAAAAATGAGAAAATCGAAGCCATAAACCTTTCCTTGGATCATTAAAGGCCAATACAATTTGGAACTGAAAGATTAAGCACTTTTCATATTTTTTGGGTAAAAGCAAACCAGCAGACGGGCCATGTATATATGCATAGAAAAATATCCATAGGTATAAAAAGAATAATAAATACAACAAAATTTTTTTTTTCTCCAAATATATCAACAAATTTTACGGATTTTAGGACACCATGTGACAATTGACTTTTTAATCCCTAAATAGATAAATCAGTTTTCCAGCTCAAACTCAGTAATTGGAGACAAACATCGATTCATATTTAATATAATAGTAATAACAAATAATGATAATAAATATTAATTTCAGGATGTATCCGGCTGAGTATAGGGTTGGGAATGAGAGCTATATCTCCAAGTCCTGTCGGAGCAAGGACGACTCTCTTTTCTGCAGGAGAGATGACTATGATAGCTCAGGTACTTTTCTTAAAGAGATCGTAGACGTAACTTAAAAACACCCTCCATTTCAAGAGTGGCATGCCCGACAGTTGATTTCTTTAAATTTCGGGTTCTCTTTAAAAGTGACTCGCGCATTCAGCATCAGAAACAATAGAGGAAATTTTCAGCATTAAAACTTTTCAACAAAAGAAAATGACGATATGCTCGATCATTTCTTATGCTACTCTTTTAATGGAAGGTTACTGAAAATGACGTCGCGATCCCTTTAAATGCAAGGAATTCATCTTAATATCAGAAACACCCGCATGAATACATTCTTAATCAAATGTTTTACATTCCGGTTCAAGTTTATGGGGTAGACCATTTGTTAACAGCCTACACACAACCCGTATTCTGAATGCTAATAACATTGCGAAATTATGATTTGCCATTTGATTTAGTTCCGAGTAAACAGAACCTACTTTGCCGGGGTGAAAGCGGATTAGAATCCATACTCCGGGTACAGGACCAGGAGATAGAGGAGAAACAGCAGGTGGAGAACCGGGAACAGGAGTGGAAGAATGAACAAGAGAAGGTACTAAATTATATTGAATCTCCGAGTACAACCCCGGGCAGTGTTAGACCGAGTAACGGAAGTGCTCTAAGGGAGAAACCAGATGGAGTAAACCCGTCCGATCTTATTTCTCAGGCTGAGCAGAAAACCAAGACCCTGGGGCGGACCCGGAGAGAGGAAACTCATAAAATACCCGGGTCGGGTTCCAGGAATGAATTTACTCTGGGTGCGGATTTACAAGGTTCAGAAGGATCTAATTCTCCAGAGTTTTTCACCGAACCAACACTCAAGTACGGGTTCGACTCCGAGGATAGTTTTGAGTCTGGATTTCCATCCCGGGGATACAGGATCAAGTTTCAATATGTTCTCTCCTCAACAACAAAGTACAACATCCTCCTGGACCAGTCTAGCGGTATGGCCGAGGGGAACAGGTGGATTTACGTCAAACGTGCCCTCTTCCGGTTTATTGATCTACTTCCGGTAGGCAGTCGGTTAAATATTTTGGCGTTTGGATCTTCAGTGAAAGAAGTTTTACCAACTACAAGAGTGACTGAACTGAACAGAGATGGATTGTTTGGAAGAATTCCTCGCAGGAAAATTAGAATATTCAAAAATTAATGAAAATATCTAAAAAACATCTTTTTAAAGTGAAACCCAAATTTTTAGCTGTTTTTCGTCCTTTAAGATTTTAATTTTTCTTTGAAACAAAGATTGTAAAAGTAAAGATCTAAGATTTTTTACCCAATATATTAATGAATTATTGCCAGCCCTCCCCCCACATCTTAGAAAAATGTGAACATCTGGTAGTTGTTGAACGGTATATTAATTGATTTTAAGAGTATTTGTATAACACCAATGGACTGCATTTCCCAGGGATTTTCTTTTAACATTTCAGACTCCAGAGACACTAAACTGAGTTGTCATGTTTAAAAGTTCTTTAATCTCGTTCAAATCTAGATATTTATGTGAGATTACTGTTGAGACCTTGTTATTTTGTGGCTCCTCTAGTTTAAACTTTACGTATGAGAGAAATTTTTTTTTGCCACAAACTCTAATTTTCTAATCTCTCAGGTTTCATTCTATACCCTCTTTCATTTTTCCTTTACACAGTCCCTTTAAATCGCGTTTACAAGATGTCAAAATAATCAAAAACAGAATGGGGTCGAACCCATAGGTCATGATATCAGAAATTTAAGGGTTAACCCCCCCCTCCCACTCCCCTCCTTAACTCTTAATTGATTGTCATTTACCTAGAACATAAATTATGAAACGTCCCATAGTATTGAGAGCTTAATGTTTAGGAATAGTCATTTTGAATAATCTAAATATACAGGGTGTCCCAAACAAATGTTCTGAAAATAAAAAAAAGGTTATTCGAACAGTTTGTTTACGTTAAACTCATAAAGTTTGAAATTCAAAATGTTAACATTTACTCAGATATTTATGTACATCCTTAATATATATATTCTATTATCTTCAATATATATATGTAATATCTGCAATTCACTTCATTATTGCATTAATGAAATATTTGAACTTGAAAATCAAGGGCTCACAACTCATGAATAGAAAGTTGTTTCAGAATATATTCAAAGTTGTAAAATTATTTATAAAGAAAAGATACATTTTTGGTCTTATTTTCTAAATAGACAGGTACAGGTATCAAATGTCCTGTCTAGGTAATTGTTATCTGGAAAAGAACTTTTAAAAAAACGTCTTAAACCATTTTGAAATGTATTACTTTGTAGTTAAGCGTTATTACAAACAATTACTAACATTCATTGAATATTCTAATCCCTGTAGAGTGCTTGATGACGTCACATCTTGTGTTGAATGTGCTCTAAAGGGTACCCTGAGCAGTATCGGACACAATGAAGCTGTGATACTGATCAGCGGGGTTCAGAATCAGATTCCAAACTATGCGCGAGTGTTGAACCAAGTCAGAGAGAAGAAGATACCGATCTTTATCGTAACCTACCCTGCCACCATCCATCCGTCCTACATTCCGCTAGCGGAGTTTGGCGGAGTTTACTCCGTTGTTGAGAACAGTCCTAAACTTCATCCTCTCACCCACCTCCAGGAGATACTGGCCAGTATTATTTCAAACACTGAGAGTGAGACCGTTGAGAAACTTCATGAAACCCATTACAATTCCTTAGCATTTGCGGGAACATTCAACTACGACAGGGAGGACCCTACAGATCTGATGATCACACTGAATGTGCCAGACGAGGAAAAAGTTGAATTCTTTGAGGTAAAAGATCCGTCCGGGAAGAAGCGTATCTTTTCCAAGTTTGAGGACGGGATGGTTTACTTCAAGTTCTCTGGGCATCTCCCCTCCGGTATCTGGTCCTACCACGCCAAGCTTTACCATGACTCCGTGTTCCCTGACACTAAGATGTCCGTGGATGTGATCACAAGGTCGGAGACAAGCTCCGGGATCTATGTGGATATATTCACCAGTAATCAAACTCCAGGTACGTATAAATTCATAAAAAAAACTTTCTGAACCCTACATCTTTGCAACCTGATGGTGAACACCTTTGAATTTTAATACTTTGATTCCACAGCATTTTTGGTTTTGAATTAAAAAGGTCTACAACATATGTGTGCAAATATATATAGGCTATCAAATTAGTGTTTGTGGAGAGTAATCAATTTGTTTGAATTCATATAGTTTTAATTTAATGCTTTCGTCATTCAAATTCGAAGTGCTCTTCCAAAAAATATTTTTTGTCCGCTTAAAGTTTAACATAATAGAGGTTCTTAAACAATTTAGATATTACTTAAGGGACGAACCAAATAGCTTTAATAAAACATTTTTTGGAACCCCTGTTTGATTTATACCTAAATAATGTTCTTAGGACGTGAAAGAACATGAACTGTTTCTTTTATATCATAAAATATATTCAGTCTTCATGCTAATTTTGTGCAAATTATTTATACTATCTTTTTTTCTAGATCCGACCAAAGAACCGGTTGTTGTCTTTAGCAAAATCATGAGAAACGGTCTTCCTATAGTTGGTGCAAAAGCAACCGCTGAGCTGTACATACCAGGTGGTGTACAGGACGGTGCGTTGTATACCCTAGACCTGCATGACAATGGTCTAGGGTACCCGGATATTACAGCCGGGGATGGAATTTACTCCGGGTATGTTCCCGGATACGGGATGGTTCCTGGCTTCTATGCAATCCGGGTTCTGGTTACGGATAACAACGGCGAAGCTGGACAAGCTAAACATCAAGCTCAAGGTAGATAATAACACGTAAATTTCGAATAAAAAAGGAATTCCAGAAAGAAAGTAATGAAAAGTATCAATAAGCATTCATGTAGATTAACTATTGTAAGCTTTATTTTGAAATACATTTCAATCCCTTTACGGAATTGTTTCGCTTTGTAATTTTACTTTTTAAAACCAAAATTATATTTCAAAACCAAAATTAAATCAGATTAAATTATGATTATATTATTACATTATTGCAACTAAAACATCACAGAAAATCAAACAGTAAAATTAGTTGTCTTTTTTGCAAATTTTTTATAATATTTATTTAGTAGAATCTGTGTCCGAATGTTGTGGATCTAGAATTGAATATGGGAATATCTCCGCCCCAACAGGAACTTTTCAACGAATATCTGCCGGGGAATCCTTTTATCTGGCCCACGGTTACCCGCTAACAGAAGACATCTCTCCGCCCTGCCGAATATCTGATCTACAGATGGCGGAAGTACTCAACGAAACACTCGCCATCCGCCTCGACTGGACAGCTCCTGGAGGCGATCTAGATTTTGGAAAAGGTGAGAGAAGCTTTTTATATATCTGTTCTTTGATTAAAGCTTCCGAAAATGTCACAATTAATTTTAATTAACCAGGGACCTCCCAGTAATATAAATCCAATCTATTTTTGATGGTATATATCATAGCTAGCTTCTCATCGTTAAATCCCTTAATTCCCCTTAATCCCCCAGCTAATAATCCAATTCCCACCTGTCACTTTTACTTTTAATATAGTGAGAACCCTGCAAACTCTGGAATGGAAAGACGACTTTAGACTCCAATTATGATTTTAAATAGTCCAATAAACATAATACACAGATAGCCATAATATCGTCTTCCTATTCCACATTTTTCTGGTCATCTCTGTATATCTTGTAGATAAATCCTCTTTTTAATTAATCCACTTAAACTGTTAACAAAAAAGTGACTTCCATTTAATAAGTGGCACGTCCGATTCACATGGTACCCTTAAAGTTTAGTCTGAACAAATCTGTGCAACCTGATGGTGGAAACCTTTGACATTTAAAACTTGGATTATTTGATCTTACAGAACTTATAGCTTGAAATATGTAAGGTCTACGACAATGGGTTTCAAAGAAATAGGGATTTGAAAATTGTGTTTGTGACAAAGACTTAATTCCATTTTTACATATTTTTCCCTGTAATTTTTAGAAATACAATTTTATTCGTTGTTCCACATTTTATTGCAAAGCTCGAGACCTCTTATCTTGATTGCGTTTACCCCACTTTCCGGTATTGAGTCTTCAGGTTGATGCATCCAAATTTTCAGTTCTAAATTTACCTCATTTTACAAGATTGAAGTGTAATTTGCTCTACAAAGCTGATCATATGTAGAGGGTTTACATGGTTTCCGTGAAATTGAAAAAAAATGAGATAGGGTTGGGGGTTGGGGGTCTTGTATAGGCTGTCAACATGTTTGTTTTTATAGATGTCTAAACGGATGAACCGATTGGGACCATGTGTATGACCTAAAAAGAAATAGCTTTAAGATGAAGATGCGAAAAAGAAAGCAACATTTAAAAGTTCAAATTATTACTAGAAAAAAGGAAGCAAAGCGTCCTGTTTCTAATAGTTCAAAGGAAATTTGTAAATTCATTGAAAAAATCAACCTTTAATTGAAGCTTGCTTCCTCAAATCTGCGAACACAAAGGCTAGTTGTATTAGTAGTGTATGGTTTTATGAACTTTCTTAAATCTAGCATATGGTCAAAACCGCACACTTTCATTTCGGTATACACGGCCACTTTTATAAACAAAAACAATTCCGAAGTTTCATTTTAGGATATCAATAATACAGTTTATTCTTTCAACGAATAAAAATACATGTGTGGTAAAGGGGTCTTAAGCGTAATTTTAATTGAACTTTCATGTAATGATGGCAATGTCCAATTAACTCTTAACAGGTTTGTCTGATCAAGCATGAATTAGATATCCATGTTTTTCTTAATTAAAACTGTTTATTTTCATTTGTGGGTTCTCTGCACAAGTCACCATGCGTATTTCTTGCTTTTAAGAAACTGTGCAGAAATTATCAGAATTAATCACGTTTCGAGTGAGAAAACGAGGTTATCTTCCACGATTTTTTACCAGTGTACACCTTTGTAAATAAGAGCATTGCATGTTATCTTTGTATGGAGGGTCAATTCAAATTACGCTTTCAAGTTACAGTACAGTCCTTTAAACCAGGAAATGGCTTTAGCTTGTTTTTAACTTTTTATTTTCGAATCTCAAGTGGGGTTTTATATATTTTTTATCATTATGTTTTGAGTAAATTTTCAAAAAAAAATTTATCTATAAGGATGGATTTTCGAAAGTTATAATTGATTAAAGTCACATTGTTAATTTTCATATTGTAAAAAAACTTATTCCACTTGTGCTCTACTATATTATAAATAGATAGATAAGTATAAATAGATAGATAAGTATAAATAGATGGATAAAGATAAATAGATAGATAAGTATAAATAGATAATTAGTATGAATAGATAAATAAGTATAAATATATAGATAAGTATAAATAGATAAATAAGTATAAATATATTGATAAGTATAAATAGATAGATAAGTATAAATAGATAGATAAGTATAAATAGATAGACAAGTATTAATAGATATATAGTTATAAAAGGAATAGACATAGATAATATGTAAATAGCCAGATGAGTACAAGATTAAGTAAGATATTAACGCAGGTACACGTTACAATGTACATATATATAGGTACACGTTACAATGTACATATATATAGGTAAACGTTACAATGTACATATATATAGGTACACGTTACAATGTACATATATATAGGTACACGTTACAATGTACATATATAGGTAGGGAGGAAGTTAGTTTATAGGTGGGAAGGAATAAAGTTTGTAGGTACTTATATAAATATGTAGATTACGAAAGCATGAAACATCTTGCAAATAAATCTTAAAATAATTGTTGATATTTCTTCATAGATAGATATATTATATGTAGATAGCCAGATAGACACATTAGATACAAAATTGATAGATAGAAAGATATATAAATAGATAAATAGATGAATATATGTTTATTATAAACCAGGTATAGAGATTAATGAATAGATGAACAGTATGGAATACTAGGATATGAGATGGTGCACGTCTAATCAGTAGATTTACATACAACATCTCATACTCATCCTTCTCTACATTTATCTATCTATTTATCTATCTATCCTTCTATCTATCTATCTTTCTATCTATCTATCTATCTATCTATCCTTATTTCTTTATTTATATCTTTACAGTTCAAAAACTTTACAGCTTAAAACATTACAGTTCCTAAACTTTACACAGTTCCAAAACTGTGCACTTTCTATAACTTTAAGTTTAAGATCTGTATAGTTTAAGAACTGTAAAGTTTAGAAACTTTAAACTTCATGAATTGTAAAATTATGGATCTGTACAGTTCAGGACCTGTAAAGTTTAGGAACTGTAAAATTTAGGAACTGTAAAGTTTAGGAACTGTAGAGTTTAGGAACTGTAAAGTGTTGGGGCTGTAAAGTTTAAGATCTGTATAGTTTAGGAACTGTAAAGTTTATAAACTTTAAACTTCATGAATTGTAAAGTTAGGGACCTGTAAAGTTCAGAAACTGTAAGGTCTAGAAACTGTAAAGTTTAGAAACTGTAAAGTTTAGAAACTGTTAAGTTTAGAAACTGAAAAGTTTAGAAACTGTAAAGTTTAATATGTAAAATTTAGGAATTGTAAAGTTTAAGAACTGTAAGCTCTATAGAACTATAAAATTTAGGAACTGTAAACTATAGTAATACTGCAAAACTTAGGACTCTTTTGTTTAGGTTAAATACTTTACGATCGATATCTTTATCTTAGAATTTTATAATTTTATAGGACTTAAGAAATATAACTTGGATAGTATATACTGTTATTTTCAGCCTAGGAACCTTTTAGGCTTAGGGAGCCATGGTTAGGAACTCCTACTATTAACTCTATTGTTAGGAAATATACATTTTAAGAAGACTATTATCCTTCAATCTTTGTCTCTATCTAAGTGTGTGAGTGTGAGAATCATTGTGCAGAGTTAGTGTTGGAACTGAAAAGTCAAGACTGTGCTTACAAATTGGATTTTTATTTGAACCTTGTCTTTGTATCCACAGATCTAACTTGGACAAGATGCATTAAACAACCTTTTCCAGACATGAACAATTGAGCCCCCCCCCCCTACCCTCCCTTTATTCCCTCCTCCCCCTCCCTCGTCTACCCACAGATCTAAGCCATACCTTTTATTGTATACAGTTCCTCCCACCGATTAATTAAGTCTTTGAAACTTTAGCTTTGGAGGCATTAAAGCATTTACTGTCCCTAGCTAGGCCTAGACAGAAGAGAAAAACAGATTTTTAATCAAAGCATGCAATTTTAATGTTTTGCTGAATTGTCATAGATTTCAAGCAAATTATTACTACGCTTCGTCCCACACTCAGTGGTTCTAATTATTTCTATTATTTCAGCTCACAAGTATGAAATCCGATGTCACACTGATCCAAGTATGCTAGCAGACTCAACCTTCTCGGAGAAGGGTATCCTGGTTCACTCTGAGAGTGTTCCTATTCCAGGAGTATACGGGACCCCCCAGACATCAACCGTTGGGGTTCCTTGGCCTAATCAGCTCTTTTATTATGCTATTGTTGCCATTGATGATCGGGGGAACCGGGGCACAATCAGTAATCTAGTATCCGTCTTCATTTTAGAATCATCTACAACAACAACAACAGAGAGTGGTTCCTCTCCAGCACCCATTGATCCTCTCGACATATTATCCTACCTTCAATCCCATCAACTAAACTCCAACGACTCTCTAGATGATAAGCATCTAAGGGAAAAGTTTCTAAAACTAAGCGAGAATCTGGTGGAATTAAAAGGCTCAAATTCTGAGATCTATATAGCGACCGGTATTGTCAGCGGGGTGGTAGTGGTAATCATTATCATATTGATAGCATTAGTTCTGCTCAATCGGAGAAAGCGTAGTATGTCACCGGTTCCAATCCCTGCTACTCCTAATACTACAACTACATACAAGGAACCTGAAGATAAATCTAATCTGGGTCAAGTTACTAAACTTAGCTCGGATGGAAGTTCTAAAGTCCTCCTCTCCTGGTTAGATTCTCTACCTAAGACAGATGATAAAGTAGGAGTAACCTCCAGCAGCCCTAGCTCTCATAACACCAGTCTTGATAGCACTCTTAACACCATCAGCAGGAGGAATCATACTCTAACCAAGACTAATCCATACAGACACAAAGTCCTCACTAACGGTAGTTTTGTAAGTTTGAAAGATATACCGAGTGGGAGTGAGGAAGGATCAACTAGAATGACCAGCAGTACCCTTGATGATTCCAATGGATCAGACACAAGCAGTGGAAGCCACAACAATGTTGGACTTACGTCAAAATCCTTAAAAGTGGCAACAAGCTCTGGGATCAAGAGGTCGAATACTAGCGCCTCCTCCCTCCGACCTGACAACCCAGTTGTGATCAATACGGCCAGTTTACGTAGGTCCCACAATACAGGATATTTTAGCTTTCGAGATTATAGTCCTGTATACGCCACAGCTACACTAGGACGTGGATACAGGAGTAATCTACCCGTCTTAGCAGAAGATAGTATTCATGGAACCATGAGACATCATCCAAATCAGACCAGGAGAACTAAACGGACTGAATCCTTTGTCTAGGAACTATTTTATTTTGACGGGATGAGAAACTTGAGAGTTTAATTTCATGTTCTAATCTAACCCTTGTTCTAAACTATAGTTACCCTGTATATACGTACCTTAAAGGGACTGTAAGCATATTTTCAAGTGACCTTCCATTTATAGAGTGGCGTGTTCTATTTTCAACAATATCCTTTAAACCTTTGATTAATGATTTTTCCTTGAAATTCTTATTTATATAGAGGGAAATTAAGTGTCAAGAAACCGCGCCAGTGTACACTAGCGCGGAGACTACAGTATACACAGTAATCTCGAGTTTCTCTGCACTCAATCTGCTGGACAAAGGTTTAAAGGGTACAATTGTGAATTGGACACATGCCTCACTACAAATGCAAGTTCACTTAAGATAACGCTTACAGTCCCTTTAAACCAGCAGTAGAGCTAGATAAATGTTGGTGAAAATAGATCTTAGCTACGGTGACAATTTGAAAAGCTAAACCCAGGATTATATCTGATCGATGATGATATTAAAGTGATCCTACCATATATGTATAGTTCATGTTAATCATAGAACATAACTCCTAAAATAACAACAGACCATGTGAACACTATTTTATAGGACTGATGCTGTGGTCTTTTAATAACCCTTTACAGTGCCCCCCTCCCTCCCGGCTGTGAAACATAACTGTGATGTATATGTTACATTATATACCTTTATTCATTAGTTTTTAAATATTATTCATTTTATAAAAATTTTGAAAATTTTACTGTCAGAAACAAGGAGAGAGAGAGAGAGAGAGATAATTGAAGGAACCAAGTTTTAAGTTAAACGTGACATCAAGAGAAAGGAATTGAGTTCTTGCCACAAACTCTTATTTTCTAATCCCAATATCTTTGCAACCTAATGTCGTAGACCTTGGATATTTCAAGCCATGAATTCTGTTAGATAAAATAATCTAAGTTTGAAATATTTACATCATCAGCTGGCAAATTTCATTATTTTACAATTATATTTGATTATTTTAACATATTTTAATTGAGTCTTAAAGAAATGTGAGCACTAACAAATTCATTTTACAATAATATATGATACAAATTGTTTAACACATATTTTAATTTAGAATTTAAAAAATATAACTCGTTAAAAAGCAAAATGGACAATAGAATTGAGTTTTTGCCATACACTCAAATTTTCTATTTCTTCTTTGTAACCTGATGGTTTAAAGTTTTTACATTTTAAACTTTAACTATTTGATGAGACACAATTTATAGTTTTAAATATCTGAAGTCCAAGACAGCTTACAAACATACACTGATTAAAAACAATTAATATAATTGATTTTCCACGTCAAACTAAAGTAAAATTAACGTAAAATTGAAATATTATATGTTTTTTTTTTCATAACTCATTTAAAAAAAGACTTTTGAAAATAACAATAATACTTTCTAAATCATAAAACAAGACATTAGTATATATATATATATGTTGCCTATAACCAAAAATAGAATTTTTTTTCAAAAGTTTTTTTTTCAATTTTTTTCCCCGGGCAACGCCGGGTCCTTCAGCTATTAATTTATAATATGTAACCGAAAAAATTTGCTTTTCTTACGCTTGGGCTTAAAATCAGAAGTAGAGGAACAATGGAGTTTCAAAGTCTTAACTTTAATGTAAATTGAATTTGACCTAGCTTCTCCTCCTGGTTAGTTCGCAGTGTTTCAGAAATACCGTTGTGACCTGAACACCTGAAAGATTAGAGCTCAATTTTAGTTTAATATAAAACTTGTTTTTCGTGCAATTTTAAGAACAATCTGGTTCCATAAATAAATAAATAAATATATTTAGTTAATATTTAGAGGTCGAAGGAAGCAAAGAATTTGATATTTGTATTGCATCAACGATATTGCAATATACAACATCATGATTAGATACTGATTGAAGATTTCCTATTAGATCCATCTTACTCTCATCTTTCCTACAGGGTGTACAAACAATAAAAAATGTAATTTTAAAAATATTTGTCAGATTTATATCAATAATAAAGATACATCACCTTTGAGTCTTAAATTATAGACCAGAATTTCTGGGACACCCTGTATAAATTGAACCTAAAATAACATATTTCTGGGACACCCTATATAAATTGAACCTAAAATAAGCGTCTGACATATTTCTGGGACACCCTGTTTAAATTGAACCTAAAATAACATATTTCTGGGACACCCTGTATAAATTGAACCTAAAATAAGCGTCTGACATATTTGAAGGTCGATTGTGTGAGATATAAATGCTAATATTGAAGATCCCCTCTCATGTTCTCAGATTAAAGTGAGATATGGGACTCTGATAAATAATCTTAAGATATCATTTGGGGTCCATCCACTCCTTACACTATTATGTCATCTTCCTCATTTCTTTTATCATTTGTTTCATTCCTCTTTCTTTTTTTGCATTCCAATTAATGTTAAAGGAACTGAGTTTTTACCATAAAATTAAGTGTTCTAATTTCTATATCTCTGCATCGGGATGGTTTAAACCTTGGAAATTTCAAACTTAGATTATTTGATCTAACAGAATTCATAGTTTGAAATATCAAAGGTCACCGACATTGGGTTGAAAAGATATAGGGATTGGAAAATCTGAGTTTGTGGCAAAAACACAATTCCTTTGTCCAATTTTTGCACTTAAAAATGTTTTTATTCAAGTCAAGTGAGCAGACGTCATTGAAACAATCTTATATGTATATTTGAAAGTGTTTAAAAGAAAATAATTTTACCGGTAGCCTAAAAATTAATATATTACCTGAAATGTATAAGTCAAAAATGTACAATTGCTTTGTTCACAGATAATAATTAATTTATCCAATTTTTTTTATGTTTCATAATTTTTACATACAGCTCTTTCACGTAATTCTTAATAATATTTTTAATCTTGTATAATTTGATTTTTCCCAGTTCCCGCAAATCCTTCCCAATCCTTCCTCATATGCTTTTTAATTCTTCCCAATTTTCTTCAATTCTTACCAATTCTCCCCAATATTCCCAAATACTTAACCCATTCATTCCCAATCCTTTTCAATCTACCCCAATCCTCCCTTATCCTCCCCAATCCTTTTCATTTCTTCCCAATCTTTTATGATACTTTACAATCCTCTCCAATCTTTCCCAATCTTCATGCAATCCTCCTCAATCCTTTCAAATCTTCCACATTTTGTTCCAATCCCCAAGCCCGCCCAATCCTTCTATAAATCCTTTCCGATCCTCCCAAGTCTTCTTTTTCCAAGCCTCCCAAATCCTTCCTTATCTTTTCCAATCCTACCCAATCAATCTCAATCTTCTCCAATTCTTTTCAATAATCCCGAATCCTGTTCAGTATCTCCAGCTTTTCCAATCCTACCCAATCAGTCTCAATCTTCTCCAATCCCTTTTCAATAATCCCAAATCCTGTTCAGTATCTCCAGCTTTTTTCAATCCGCCCCAATTCTTCCAATCCTTTCTAGTCCTCTCAAATCTTTCTTTATCCTAACCTATCCCTTTCTACTATCTATACTTATCTTTCCCAATGCTCCTGTCTATCATACCAAAATCTTTTCAATTCTCTTAAACTTTCCCCAATCCTAAATCTTCCCCATCTACCCCCAATTCCTCCCAAATCTCCCCCAGTCCTTTCCAATCCTTCCCGACCCTTCCCAATTCTTTCCAATCCTCCAAAATCTTTCCCAATCCGCGCCAATTCTTCCCATTCTCCCAAATATTTCTCAATCCGCCCCAATTTCCCAATTTTCCATGTAAAATTAACCCCTTGTATTTACCTACCTCGGACTGAAGGTCAGGATATTAAGATATGATTTGAAACAAAGATATCAATTTCACTTGGTGCACGCTCCTAATCTTCATTCCAGGGGAGTTAAGTTCTCATTCTTAAAACGTTTTATTTCCAATGCTCCCTTCAGGAAAAATTCAGAAAACATTTTTCTTTTCAGTTACAAATTGTTTATCGCTAACTTTTTATTTTACTTTTTATGTCAGCTATGGTAAACATTTTTTGACAAAAGCAAACTTTCACAAAGGTCAATTTGAATCACTTTAACCTTCTCAGAATTGTGTGCAGCTTCTCTTTAAGAAAGTCCTAAAATCCTAATGATCCAAACAATGCCTAAGCAAACAGTATTTACACTTATTTACTGTTTTTTAATTACAAAAAAAGTCTCCAACTTAATTCATCAGAAAATGCTTTTCAATTTTATTTGACAAGAAATACATCTTTTCCAGAAGATGAATATTCCTGCCCTGGACTTGTTGCACGCTCTTAATCAAAGGAAGATTTATCCTGCCACAGCTTATAGGCAGACAGACAGTCAGACAGTTAGACAGTTAGACAGCTATACAGTTAGATAGCTATACAGTTAGATAGCTAATCAGATAAACAGCTAGACAGTTATACAGTCAGATAGTTAGACACCTAGATAGTTAAAATAGACGGATAGAGACTTTGACAGTTAAACAGTTAGACAGTTGTTAGACAGTTAGACAGTTAAACAGTCAGGCAGTTAGACAGTTAGACAGTTGAACAGTTAAAAAGTCAGACAAATAGACAGTTAGACAGTTGGACAGTTAGAAAGTTAGACAGTTAATTTTTAAAGATTGACCCTCAGATAGTTAAATTTTTAGAAAAAATAGACAGTTAGACAGCTGACAGATAGGCATTTAGTCAGTTAACCATGTGTACAGTTAGACATATATTTATAAAGTATAGTGAGATAGTCATTCGAGCTGTCAGACAGCTGATAAACTTCAAAGACTTGGACAGCTGAATGATTACACAGAAAGACAATTACTAGACTATAACTGAGCCAGCTGAATAGTTATAGACACTATTGTTCACTTTCTGTTCATAAACAGGGTTACCCTCAAAAGATGAGACTGTGAAGACGACCATAATCTCTAAAGATATGACGATCCCAAGGTTAATTTAGGTTTTCTGCCTTGAACTAAGTCTTTCAATGGCTAATTTAATGCTTTGGAAAAGAAAGAAAGAAGTCTCTTCCTTTGTGGGTAACCCTGTACCTTTCAGGTATTCCTTACAGTTTAAGATTAGTTTCAATGTCGTCTTCCAAAATGTTTAGAGATTTAATGGACAAACTGCCAAAACATATCATTTACTAATATAACTTGTATTAAAAAAGATAAGGCTTTTTGTTGTTCTTGATATAAGATTTATGTATGTTATATACACTATAATTTTTGATATACATATTTAAACTTGAGCATACCCACAAAGGACGAGACTTCAGACACGATTGTACAAAATTTGCGGTATACGTTTTCTTTATGATTCCTTGCAATTTTAAACTTATTTCTTTTTTTCTTCATTATAATTGAATAAGCCATAAAAAGATTGTACTCAATGTAGAACACTTATCCACGAAATCGTCAAATTTAAAGAGTTTTTGGTCGTGTTTACAGTCTCACCCTGCATGTACTGAAATTAGACCGACATTTCTAAATTTTGTATTGCATCTTTTAAAGAACTTTTGCTTTGCTTTGTTTAATGATTAATTGTCAAGATTTTATCCCAACAAGCTAATGCTTACGGTTAAAAATACCGTACTGCAACATTTTACATAATTGATGTCAAAGAATTGTACAATGTGTCCGCTTAGACATTATGATGTAAAAAAGACGACCAACCGAATAACTTTGAATCTGCAATCCTTTTTTAAAATATAGGTGAAATACCCCTTGAAAACTCAGGCTCATTTGAAGTACCGGCCTGACTTTTAAGCAGGATAGAGCTAATTGTACAGTATGCATCTGAGGAATCTATGGCAGAACGGTACAGTACACCAAATGATTCATCTCTTTCTCACAATATTATTGTAGACTTTTCAAAATGGTGAACAAGCCTCTACAGGTAACAATATTTTACCCAAGCAGTTTTTATTACAGTTCAAATAGTTTTGTATTATAGTCCAAGCAGTTTTTATTACATTTTTTATAACAGTCCAAGCTGTTTGTATTACAGTTTTTCATTACAGTTTAAGCAATTTTTTTACAGTCTAAACAGTTTTATTATAGTCCAAGCTGTTTTCATTACAGTTTTTTTATTACAGTTCAAACATTTTTTTATTTCAGTTTTTTATTACAGTCCGAGCAGCTTTTTATTAGAGTTTTTTAATAAAGCCCAAACATTTTTTATATTACATTTTTGCATTACAGTCCAAGCAGTTTTTATCACATTTTTTTATTTTCACTCCAAACATTTTTTATTATAGTCCAAGTTGTTTTTATTACAGTTTTTATTACAGTCCGAGCAGCTTTTTAATACAGTTTTTATTATAGTTCAAACTTTTTTTATTACAGTTTTTTATTATAGTCTAATCAGTTTTTATCACTTATGCTCTCTCATATTACTTGATCGTTTTCAATCGTAACTTTATTAGTCGAGTATTCTAAATTTCTAATTCCAAGAAAGAGTAAAATTAATAATATTAATGTTTTACTGCTTATTATAACTTGTTGTCATATTATTCACGTCCTCAGCTATTTGCGTTCTAGGTTTAATCTATAACATAACGGGGGGGCTGGGGGGAGGGAAGATTGTTAATGAACTTAAGACATTCAATTACTAGGGTTAAATTAAGCAATAAATTGCTTATGCTTTTCTTTTACACACAGGATGTTTATATTTAAAATTAAGATTTTTACTGTTTTTATTAACAATGGAGAGAAGATTTATCAAATCTTATTTTAAGAAATCGAAATGTTCCAAAACAGAACATGTTGAAAACCTAGAAAAAACTAGCCTAGAGGAAACATGACGTTGAAATCACTGTATCAGGTATAGAAATGAACTCAATAAATGTCGTCTTAGCTTTGAACTTGTTTTCAAACGTCGTCTTTCAACATTGTCGAAAGCATTAGGTCTTATTTTCGTTTTATTATAAACATATTTGCATCCTCATAAAATCTCCAAAATGACTAGCACTGTATGTTTATGTGATAATGAAAATGCAATTGTCTTGGAAATCGTCTTCAGCTCTAAATTGCGGTACAGGGTGTCCCACGAAACATGACAGTAGGTGAATAGTTTAAAATGTCTTCTTTCATAATTTGTTAAACATGGTTTGATACCAAACAGAGCAATACAAATAATATATGGCAGTCATATTGAAATTGATTTCAAAGTGAAATATATTTGGGAAAAGATTTTTTAAAACAAAATAAACTGCAACAAGTCTTTGATATCTAATACACCATATGGAAGAAGACATTCCAAACTATTTACCATGTGTCATGTTTTGTGGGACACCCTGTATCTTAAAATCTGAAATTTAGTTAAAAATGTAAAAAGCAAAAACAAAAGAAATCCTGCCACAGGGTGTCCCAATAAACATGGAAATTTAGAGACAGTTTTTTTATTAAGAAATGCTGATGTTCATTATAATGACAAAAAAGCCTTTAACCGTTAACATGAAATACCAAACAAATTTTTTTATCTTGACTTTTGAAATTAGATATTAAAATGCTTATTCTTACTTTTGATGGTTTCGAAGTCTTCACTGAATTCCACTATTTATTTTCTGATTCTAGTTTAATTCTAGCTGAAACTCTAACCATTATGAAAGCAATACAAATGACACAATTTTCAGATTTTCTCTGAAGTTTTTAGAAACCGTGTTTCCAGTATTGTTCCCCCTAAAACATCTCTCAAAATAGTGACCAAATCCTGAGAACTTCTCCGAAATTTCCCACTGGACCCATTTCCTAGAATTTAAACAGAATTTACCAAAATGGTGGATTTTTTTTGGAATATCTCTGAACCAATTCTCCAAATAATTTTTAGAACTATAAAAAACTGAGTTTGGAGAATATTTGAGTCAAAAACTCAATTCCGTTAAATTTCCCTTCAGAGTATAAGACTAAATTAACTCAAGGATAAAAGAAATGTTAATATTTTAGTAGCATTTCTCAAGAATTTCTCAGGAATTTCTTGGGTCTCATGGTGTAGAGAAATTTTCTAAATTGAGTTATAGAATAGAAATTCTGAACTATTGTTTACTTTGACGAACCTAAAGAAAAAAAATTCTTCTAGTTGGCTCGAAGTGGAGATGTTGGAGGGATAGAAGATGTTCTTCAATCCCAGGATACTGTCAAACTAGATACACTAGATGAAAATAAGGTTAGCCTATACATCTATATATAAATTTGGCTTGTCTGTCTGTTTGTTTGTCTGTCGGGGTGTTTTTTTTTTTGTATCCCATAAACGTCAAAACGGCTGAACCGATCGGGCCCAAATCGGGCCCAGGAAAGGTTTATGAATGATGAAAATTTCAAATATTTGTCTCCATCAAAATTCGATCTTCATTAAATTTTTGAAAATTTTGAAAATCCACGAAATTTTTTGTGAAAATCCGCGAATTATTTTTGTTTTGTTTTACAATGTACACAAAGAGAACATGTTCACAATTAATTTAGAAGATGGGCGCGAAGCGCCCTCTTAGGCTAGTACATATATACTTCGTTTGTCTGTCTGGGTGTCTATTTGTTTGTATCCAAAAAACGTCAAAACAGATGAACCGATCTGGCCCAAATTTTGTTTGGGACCTCACATGACTACAGGGAAGGTTTTTAGATGATAAAATTTCAAAAATTTGCCTCCACCAAAATTCGATCTTATTTTAATTTAAAATAATCCACGATTTTTTTTTATAAAATAGGCGAACTTTTTAGTCGTTGTTTTACAATGTATGTATACAAAGAGAAAATGTTTACAATTGAAATAGAAGATGGTCTCGAAGCGCCCTAAAAGCCTAGTTTTTATATAATGCCACTAAACCTTAATTATAGATTGTTTTTCAAAGCTGTAAAAGTTTTCTGATCACAAACACCCAGAGAATTAGATATGCGTATTTTACTGAACCACAATCAATAAGCCTAGGTGTTAAACGTTTTTTTTTGGGATAGAAATTATTGAAATTATTTTTGTAAAGAAAAATAAGTAGCTATTAAGAAAAGTACCCCCCCCCCTCACTCCAGAAAAGCATGTGTATAAAATAGGCGGGCAAAAATGTTCTAATTTATTTATATTACATTAAAGTAAATCCTACATGGCAACTCGGCCCAAAAATAAAGAAATATTTAAGGTAAGGTTTGTTAATGACGCTTTTAAAAGCTCTCCTATCACAGCTTTTAATGGCTTGGACATATCCAAGGACTGAACCCTTAAAATCATCTAATCTCTCAGGGGTTAAAATTTCCAAATTTCTGAAAAAATATTTCATTAAGTACGTTGTAAGACAATGTATAATTGTTCACAAATCAATTGAGCCAAAAACTGAGTTTATATCATCAGCTATACATCTTTAAGGAATGATATACAATGTTACAATATGCAAGCCATAGTAGTATTCTGAAATACAGAACTACACACAATGGATTAGACTTTAATGACAACCTCAATTTTTTAATATACTTGACACTTCTTTTAATTCTGTATTCTGTTAAAATATAGTCTTTTAGGTGTCATTAGGTCATTTCCCCAGCGCAACTTCCCCAACAAAATTTCCCCAGTCACAACTTCCCCAACAGCAACTTCCCCAGCCGCTCATTTCCCCAACACTAACTTCCCCAGTCATTCATTTCCCCAACAGCAACTTCCCCAACCGCTAATTTCCCCAGTCACTAATTTCCCCGACAGCAACTTCCCCAACACCAATTTCCCCATGCAGTAAAATTCTTAATTTCCCCAACAGAAACTTCACTTCACAACGGCTGTTGCTACACATTTTGAATGTTTCCTTTTCTCCCCACAGTTCCAGAATGATTTAGATTTGTCCCTTGACATTGATTGTAGGTTGTACTCATACTTATTAGGATCCACCAGAACATTTCTCTTCTTCGAGGACAGTATATAAACTGCCAACATTGTCGACTCTAATCCAACTGATTTTTTCACATTCAAAAATTTGCGAATTTTTTTATTTTAAAATTGCGCATTTGTTCATTGGAGTAAGGTTAAAAACGAAAATATTTGATATTTTACTGCATGGGGAAATTGGTGTTGGGGAAGTTGCTGTTTTACTGCATGGGGAAATTGTTGTTGGGGAAGTTGCGTTGGGGAAATTAGTGACTGGGGAAGTTAGTGTTGGGGAAGTTGCAGTGGGGAAATTACTGACTGGGGAAGTTAGTGTTGGGGAAATTGGTTGTTGGGGAAATTGCTGTTGGGGAAGATGATAATTGGGGAAATTGTTGTTGGGGAAATTAGTGACTGGGGAAGTTAGTGTTGGGGAAATTGGTTGTTGGGGAAATTGCTGTTGGGGAAGATGTCTCGGGGAAGTTGTGACTGGGGAAGTTGCGCTGGGGATCTAACCTAACACCGTCTTTTAATAGTTGAGCAACTTGAACGTCAAGTGTATAGCTGTAGAGAACCCTACATATCAGAAAAAGGCTAAATAGATTCTTGACAGTCGTCTCTGAAGTCTTATCCTTAGTGGGTAATACTGTATTTTTAATTGTTTAAGGTATCTGCTCTGCACTATGCTGCTCGCTACAGTCATATTGATGTTATGCATGTTCTCGTTCAAAACGGAGCTGATGTTAACATCCAGGGTGATGATGGACTTACTCCTCTCCACTATGCTGCCAGGTATCACTCCTGTATGCTGAGTCAATTAGCGCTTGATCCAATCAGGGTTCAGTCATGTGTTTATTGTCTATTCTGAACCAATGGGAATAGTAAGGCGGTAACATCTATCTTTCTATCTATCTCATTATCCGATTATAGTTATGAATCCTTCAATCGGCGCTATCAGTAAATGGAAATATTTACTTCTACTGAAACTATGGTGATATAAATCTGATTTTAATATCAAGGATGGACTTACTTTTATTATTTCACTTTTAATATTTTTTGTTTCTAAATCTAGGTTTAAGATACCAAAGTCTGAAAAAACACCTGCCCTGGTTTCCACCTATCTCACTGATTCTTCAATTAAGGAAGTTTTAGGAATAGGTAAATAACTAGGTTTCATCAAATAAAACAAATATTTTGACAGTTTTTATCTTCTTTCAGTCTCATCTAATTCATAGGTCAACATTTTTTCCCAGCGGGTCCGGTTTTATTGTATCTTGTTGTATCGGCGTTTTTCCAACATAACATGGGTTTCTTAACGTTTGCCCTCTTCATTTCATTTTTACCTAGACCAAGGTTTACAGGGTACCATTGTGTATCGGACATGACATGTTGGAGGGTCACTTTTCAAAACGTCTACACTTCACAGTAAGCAAAGGTAGTTGCCAGAATCAATAAAGCAGGAAAAAGACAATTCTTTCCTCTCTTACAGTTCCATTTTAAAAAAAATCCTAATTTAAACGTTATTTCAGATATGGGTGTGTCCTACAAGAATGAAGTTAAAAATAAAACTGAAACCGTGTCGGAGAAAAATCAGGTAGTGTCTATTTTTAATACTCCAAATAAAACAATTAGTTTACTTTTTAACTTCTTTAGGTGATGCTTTAATCATTTTATTTTTTTTTGTAGGTTTTATCCCATTTTCTGCTAAAGAATGGGGTAAATGTTAAACAGAAAGACATATAAAAATCATGTTTTAATTAAAGAATGTTTATACTTCTACAGAAATCAGCTGATCCAGTGATAAGATATCTATTGGAATCTGGAGCTAGAGTTAATGAAAAAGATAACTATGGTCTCACACCTCTACATTATGCATGCATGAGAGGTATAATAAAAATATATTTTTCAAAATTTTTATTTTGAACATGGACAAAAACATTTACACAATTTCAGAAATCTAAAAATTGCAATTAATTTCTTTGAAATGTTTTTTTTTATTAAATATATTTTTCAATTCTACAACATTCACAATTTTTTTTTGCAAAACTAAATTATATATACTTAAGTATTGCTATAAAGTTGTCTTCATATTCCACAATTTTCTGATTATCACCGCATACTTTGTAAAGGGAATATCGAGGCTACGGAGGAGCTGATTTTGAGCCCTGCCATTAATATCGAAGCTACTGATGAACAAGCTCTCACGCCTCTTCATCTTGCTTGTACATATGGACAACAGGAGTGCGCACGGTGAACTAAATATTTTTTACTGAATTGAGTCTTTGCCCCAAACTCTGATTTTTTAGTCCCTATATCTTTGCAACCTAGTGCCGTTGACCTTAGAATGCCTGGCTTAGATAGTTCAAGCTATGACTTATGTTAGATTGGTTGCAAAGCGATGGTATTAGAAAGTTTTAATTTGTGACAAAGACCTAATTCATACATAAAACTTAGGATTTCTTTTTAAAAATACACTAATTGGATACATTTATCGTGAAGCATGAAAAGAAGGTTTAAGAAAAGGATATTAAGTAAATCAGCAAGGATAGGGTTAAAAAATCTCTTATTGGTCCAAGCTTTGTCCTATAGCAACGTTGTTTTATTAGAGTAACTAGTTGAAAGTCTCACTCTCGGCGTTGCCCTTGAAAGGAAAAAAAAAATTTAAATATATTTAAAATAAAAATTTTAGAAATGTTGAAACAAATTTCGAATTTTTTAGCTTAAGGCACCCTCCCGGGCACCCCTAAGTGTCCTCAACAAATTTCAGCCCAATCGGTCGAGCGTTTGGGCGGCTATACGCAACATATATATATATATATATGAATGTCTTGTTTTATTATATAGATTATGATAATCTTTTATATTAAAAGCACTGAGACCAAAGAACTCTGTGTGTTAATCTCTCAAATAGTTTTCGAATTGTCGAAAAATGGGAGCTTGTGAACTCAACTCAGCTCAAGCTGACGATACCACGAAAATTCGAATAATTTATGTCCAAAGCGGTTTTCAACCAATCGAGTGCAAATATTTATTTTTAGAGAGTAAATTATAAAATAAAACAGCTTGCAAATAAAGTGTTCAAAAATATCACTCTTTTCCGTAAATTGTATGTCTGACAATCCTCAATCAGTCAAAGGTTCAAAGGTACTGTTGTGAAACAGACACGCCATTTTACAAATTGAAATTGAAATAGAAATTTATGCCTACAACCCCTTTAAATCAGTTGCGCTTTCTATATTTTTTTTTATTTAAGAAAAAACCTAAATATATTTATATAGTTTGTTGTTACAAGCTGGAGCAAATATTATCAGTTGCGATGAAAGGAAAAGTACTGCACTACATAAGGTATTTTTTTAAGCTTATTGCTTAGAAACAAAAACTTTTTTCTTAAACCATAACTTGATTGGACAGAAACGAATCAAAAAGTTAATATTTTCAAGTTGTTTTAACAATTTTTATTTGGAGAAATGTTAAAAACTATTACAGAGAACTTTTACAAATTACGCCGATTAGGGTTCAATCAATCAATGACAATTTTTGCTGTGTTTAGGCATGTGCTCATGATATACCAGAGTTGGTTAGTTTACTGTTGAAATCATTGGAAGCATTGTAAGTTTTTATTCTCATTTTTGGGATTTCGATATTTACATTAGGCAGAAAAAATCCACCAGGAAAATGAGGAGGAGGGAGGAAAGGAAGGGGAGAGGGGGTGGGGTTGTAAACACATTTAAGTGTAAGGGTATGCGCTAAGCATGCATATGGAAAGGGAATTGATCACTTTTTGCGGGGCTTTATCGCTGAAATTGAAAATAAAAGTAGGAGAGAAAGGGTTAAAAGATCCTCCAAAGTTAAGATTTTGGAGATTATATTTCTTTCATGGACTTGGCAAAACCTTGTGCTAGATATTGATTTATGATTAATCTTTGATCTTTTTAGTAAACAGTCTCTTTATTTACGTCCTTGATGATGTGTTTAGAGTTGGAAACTTGGAGTGGATGAAGTTCTCTGCTAAATATTTTTAGATAATGTATTTGGTTGGAGTGGATGGATTGAATGAAGTTCTCTCCTGTACAGATATAGATAATGTATAGGGTTGGAGTGGATGGAGTGGATGAAGTTCTTTCCTATACAGATATAGATAATGTATAGGGTTGGAGTGGATGGGGTGGATGAAATTCTCTCCTATACAGATATAAACCAGCAAACCCCTCTCCAAGTTGCAGTAGAAGCTGGGAACATAGAGAACGTCAAGGTTGAATATCTTAATAAAGAAAACTATCTTTAGTTTTTTCACAATATTTTGGTAAAAATAAAAAATTTAAAGTTCGAATTTTTGAGTATATTTCCAAGAAAATGTTGGATTCATCTACTTTTATATAGATGAGAATTATTTTTGGTGTGCAATTTGTAAATATTAGGGTGGCCCAAAATATATTGGAAAAGGGAGACAACATTTCAGCAGCACTCCTGTATGCCGAGTCCATTAGCGCCTGATCCAATCAGGGTTCAGTCATGTGTTTTGTGCATATTCTGAACCAATAGAAATCGCATGGTGGTAACATCTGTCTTTCTATCTATACTCATCTAATGAAACCATAGTGGCAGTCTTATGTGAATTTATTGAGCAAAAAGTAAAATTGGTTTAATCAGCACAATTCCTGGTGCTTTATGTTCACTAACAGTTGACTATCTTAAATCATAGGTAACCCTTGTCTATCAGTCGTCTTCTTGGGCTTAGTTGGTGCAGAATTTTAAACTATGCTAAAATTTAAAGATTTTTCTTTTTTTTAGTAAATCTACATTGTAACAAATAATGATAACACTTTCAGAATTTTATAATAAAATGTTTTTATTGTAATTTTTAGATCCTTCTTGAAAATGGTGCTGAAGCAAGTGTGCACAATGAGGAGCACATGTATGCTCTCCACCTAGCATGTACTGTTGGGAGCCTAGATATTGTAAAGGTAAATATAGATAGATAGATATATACTGCACATGTATGCTCTCCACCTAGCTTGTACTGTTGGTAGCCTAGATATTGTAAAGGTAAATACTAAATATAGATAGATAGATATATACTGCGAGTACTGTACAGTTGGTAGACTAGATATTGTAAAGGTAAATATAGATAGATAGATATATACAGCGAGTACTGTACAACTTGCGTTAGCAGCCAAAGTCAGAACAATACCTGAAAAGAGTTCCGAAGATTTCAGGGGAGGGGGGGGGGGCAAGTATACAAAAGTAGAGGATATAAAACTGTTAGAAACTACCTTGCCCCTGGTAAATATTTCAAGTCAAACTAATTTTGAATTGTTTTTTTTTCTTCTAGATTTTACTGAAAAACGAAGCTGACATTCAAAGCAGGAATAGGAAGAATCAAACTGCATTGCACGTAGCAAGGAACTGAATTTTTAACATTTTTATTTATATTAAAAACTATTTTCTGTGAATAGGAAGCATTTAGCACTGATAATCTTTGAATTTCGTCGTTTTGGAGATTCTAACTTGAAAACTTTCTTACTTTTATAAAGTTTTTGCTTGTTGTTAAAACCTTCTGAGTTAGTGCTCACAATAACCCTGCTATCATCGCATACCTTATAGGAAAAGGAGCAGAAATAGACGTCAGGAAATATATATTTAAAAACTTTAAAAAAATATTTTTTTGTAACCTTATACTTTGGCGTGGGCGTGATTACTCGCACAAAGTTTATAACTTTTCTTAGGTTCCACCAAGTTTTTTTCAAATTACAAGTTTACAAGTAAACAAAGAGAACCTGTAAACTGATAGTTTCTTTTTTTTTCCATGTTACGTGTACCTCTGCTGTTGGAAAGCTTGGTAGATATCACAAATTGAAAGCGAAAGTCGTCTTCATGGTATATATAACTGATGTATAACTGATGAATGCATTTTGATCAAAAAGGGAAAGTTTGAAGCTTCAACATTTTTTCCATAAGGAAAAAAAGATACTGGGATTAGAAAATGAGAGTTTTAGATGAGTGTTTAAATAAATTTACATCAGTTAAACAAAATACAGGGTTATCCGCAAAGAAAAAGACTATTGTATAAGGAATTTGTTAAGTCAATTTTCTTGTATCCAGGGTTCCTTGAAGACCAAAATTAAACCATTAAAATATTCAATTTAACGCAAAAACCAAAAATCAAGCTTCATATTTATAGAGTCTTTACAGTCTGATCCTTTTTGGGTAACCCTGTAGTAAAATTCATACATAAATTGAATTAGCTTTGCCTCGGATATAAAGCACAAATAATATATAAGTTACAAGAGATATAGATATGCAGTAATACAATCTATCGAAAGACAAAAATTGCAAAATATATATGTATTATATATTATGTATTATATATATATAATATGTATTTTGGCTCATATTCCAATATATTTAATGACAAAAAGGGTTCGAATAGGCCATAAAATAGTTCAATTGTGGTTCAGTTAAACTATTTTTATGTTCATTTGAACTCCTAGCCGCAGCGCTCAGCCCCCTAGCATGTCCTAACCGCAGCGCTCAGCCCCCTAGCCTGTCTTAGCCGCAGCACTCAGCCCCCTAACCTGTCCTAGCCGCAGCGCTCGGACCCCCAGCTTGTCCTTGCCGCAGCGCTCTGCCCCCTAGCCGCAGAGCTCGGCCCCATAGCTTGTCCTATCCGCAGCGCTCGGTCCAGAAACTGTCTAACCTAACCCTAAAATAATACAATTTCTTCCTCCAATAATAGTTCAACTGAACCAAAAAATAATTCAAATTTATGTATAATTTCAGGGTTAGGTTAAGTAAAGACACTTTCTGGGCCAAGCGTTGCGGCTAGGACAAATAAGGGGGCCTAGCGGTGAGGCTAGTATTTCAAATGAATATAAATTATAGTTTAAATGAACAAAAAAATAGTCTAAATGAAATGTTCAAATGAACAAACTGTTTTATATCTTTTGTAACTTCTTATGTAACTTATATATTTTGTAACTTATATATTTTGTAACTTATATATTTTGTAACTTAAATGTTTTGTAACTTAAATGTTTTTTTTTTATTATGTTACTGAGCCCCATTGGCCTCCGTATATAGCCTTCATTTAGCTTAATTTATTCATTTAACACCAGATACTTAAAATGAACCAATATAGAGGTTTCCACAATTTTTAACGTTTTAATCCAATAGCATTGAATCCTAATTGTAAACTCCTTTGTTATTTTAAACTTTTATTATTTGAGCTAGCCGATTTCATGATTTGAAATATAAAAGGTCTACAACATCAGGTTACAAAGATATAGAGAATAGACAATTCCACAATTTTTAACGTTTTAATCCAATAGCATTTAATCCTAATTGTAAACTCCTTTGTTATTTTAAACTTTGATTATTTGAGCTAGCAGATTTCATGGTTTGAAATGTAAAAGGTCTATAACATCAGGTTACAAAGATATAGAGAATAGACAATTCCACAATTTTTTACGTTTTAATCCAATATCATTGAATCCTAATTGTAAACTCCTTTGTTATTTCAAACTTTGATTATTTAAGCTAGCAGATTTCATGGTTTGAAATATATAAGGTCTACAACATCAGGTTACAAAGACATAGAGAATAGACAATTATGGTCAATAATCATTTCCGTTTCCCTAGATTTCCAAAATTAATTAGAATACATATATAAAGAGATGAAAGCAATAATACCCCTCTTCTCCTGGCAGCGAGGAAAGGTCACCCAGACGCTGTAAAGGTTCTTGTCAAGTAAGTGGATATTTAACAGCTGACTATATATACATATAACAATCTATCTATCTATCTATATATCTATCTATGTATCTATCTATCTATCTATATATCTATCTATCTATCTATCCAGCTAGCTACTGTTTATATTTAGTTATGGAGCAAGTCTAACTCTTGTGGATAAAGAAGATCGAAGCTGCTTCTATCTTGCAGTTGAACAAAATCATCCAGGTTTAGATATTTAAGACAGATTTATTAACCCCTGCAGGATGTATATTTGTACACGAAGTTTAGTATAAAATGTAATAAACGTTAATATTCGATACCTTACATCAATGAGGGGACAGTTAGTGTAATTTCAACCTACACTCCATTTCAATGCCCATTCTACCCTTAAAACCATTGTGTGTTCGTCTAGTACAGAGAATAGTGTGTTTAAACTTATCGAATGTTATTCAGCTGCACACCACGAACTTAACACAATGCAAGCGGGTTTCAATAAGTTTATACACACACATCTCAATACATTATAAGGGTACCGTTGTAAAATTTACACCTTTTATGTAATTTTTATATTAAAAATATATATTTTTCATTTAGATGTCGTAAACTTGCTTTTGGAGTACAATGATGTTCAGCAGGTTAGCCAATTAATTACAAAACATGTCAAATTATAATGATTAGGCTTTTATAAAATGTATAATTTACTTTGTTTAAAATACCTACATTGAAAAATTTGACCCAGAAACCCCCCCCCCCCCCCCCCCCAATCAAATATAGGGTACTAACTTTGTATAGTTGATGGGACTCTGTGACAGATGGGACAATACTCCTTTACATGTTGCTTGTATTAAGGTATACACAATTTCAAGGAATTTGATCTTTCTCACAAAATTATTATTTGAAAAGAGAAATTGCAAAGATTAATATTTGGAATGAAAGGTTACAGAATAAACAAATGGTTTTAGGAAGGACATATTGAAAAGGGAAAATTGATCTTTTAAAAGACAAATTGCAAATCTAACGTTAAAAGTACAAATTACAATGGTTTCTTATTTTTTACAAACATTTCTTTTAAGATATATTTTTTGGAAACATGTAATTGGCTTAAGTAGAAAAATTATAAATTATTAGCCAGGCCTTTTCATTACACATATTTACACCGAATTTAAAGAATTTGAGCTAGGTCTAAACCTGGCTCAACTGCCTACCGCCGGTTCAAAGTTGAATCACCGATTCAAGTCCTTTGCATCAGTAGTTCAAATTTGAATCGGCAGGAGGTTGTTCAGCAACGCAGCTCAAATTCTGTAAATAATCTTATCTCAATCTAAATCAGACCATTTTCAGGGTTTTTACGAGATTGCAATAATACTTATAGAAGCAGGTTAGTGAACAGGGTATATTCCTAAAGAACGATTTTTGGTCCCCCCCGGCTAAATAGGGTTAAAATTACTCTATTTTAAGAGTTTTAGTCCTTCTTTACATTACATTTGTATTTATCTATGTTTTTGTACTTGTATATAATTTTATTTATAGGGTACATATATTTATCTAATAGTTTGTACTTGTACACAATTTTATTTATAGGGTACATATATTTATCTAATAGTTTGTACTTGTACACAATTTTATTTATAGGGTACATATATTTATCTATTTGTTTGTACTTGTACACAATTTTATTTATAGGGTGCATATATTTATCATAATGTAATTGCTACTGAATTTTTTCTCTTAACATATTGTTATTGAAAGACCCCTAAATGTTCCTTTTTTACCCTTAAATTGTCACGTATGGTTTTCTATATCTTTCGACATTGAAAAAGTTTAGCTTACTCCTCCATATTTTAACTTTCTACTATGTATATTAATGGTTTACACTTTTCTTTCTTATCCTTCATTTTTCACTTCAAACTTTGTAAGCACAAACTTTACAGCAATAAACATTTTTTTCAACTCAATAGTCAATATAAATAAAAAGACACCAAAAATCTATAAAACTATTTTGCTTGAGAACTGTATGCAATTTTTGTTAACATGGATGGTCCCTTATAAATGGTTGTTTATTGTTAAAAAAAAAAGATATTTGTGACTGACCGTCTGATTTTTTAAAGATTTTTGGCCTTTAAAAGGTGTGTCGTTAACGATCGTTAATAAAGTTTCGGTCTATAACGATCGTTACCTATAGTTCAAAATCAAATTGACCATACCTTCGTTAACTAAACGACGAATAAAAAATTCAAACTACCATTTCGTTAAAAAACTTATGAAAGTTTCTGCATATCGTACTCTTTACTTTATTAACGAAAAGAACCGTTCTAAAAAGAAAGGGATCCATCCCTACAGCCTTGTTAATGGTTTGATGTGGATCTATCCCTACAGCCTTGTAATGGTTTGATGTGGATCAATCCCTAAAGCCTTGTAATGGTTTGATGTGGATCAATCCCTACAGCCTTGTAATGGTTTGATGTGGATCAATCCCTACAGCCTTGTAATGGTTTGATGTGGATCCATCACTACAGCCTTGTAATGGTTTGATTGAAGCTTTTAGTTTGAAAATGGTATATTATTGACCTAAAATTAAATAAATTTTAATTTTAAAACTTTTAGTTCAATTAAGTGTACCTTTAGTTTTGCACATATTTTTATGGTTTAAAATACAACATCGTATGAGTATGTTTAAATGTACAATCTAAATGAAAAAACCGTACCGTGCCAATAATTTATACCTCACAATGTACATAGTACCTCAATTTTCGGCTTAAACGTACTGAATAATTTACCTTTATTAATTGCTATATTATGCATTGATTACGCAAGTTCTACCTTTAAATAATCAAGCGTACATTGGCACTCCTTCTGATGTAATATTTATAACACTGGGTGAAAGGGAACAGCTAAATTAAAAATAGTCCAATGATTATAGTATATTTTTTTCATATATTTATTCAACTACAAAGCATGAGAAATTACAAATAAGCAATCGCAATTTACTATGCAGTTTGGACCCGCCTAACCAGGGTTGGTTGGTTGTTGAGTGGTTGGCCCGTAGTTAATTAACGATACTGAATATAATTGGTTACACATATCAAGATATGTTTTTGGATTGGTAAGGAGTTGATTGGAAGGAAGGAGATTGTCAGGTAGTAATGGAGCATAGTTTGAAGCGTTTAAAAACTTTAAAGGTTTTTGAACTTTTAAGAGGTTCCACACAATTCTGAGACATCACTAATCATGAGACTGTGCAGTGTGCACCTTATCCTTTTTCACTTTAAAATTGATTTTGAAACTCTTGTTGCAATACAAATAATATCGAGTGACCTAAAGATTGCTTCACTGTGGTCTTTCAATTGCACAACTGTACTTACATTTAGAATCCTTTATTTTAAACTACCTTGGGAACCCAGGGCTACCCATGGTGATCAAAGTTAATCCCGTCGTTTACCCAAACTTGGTCGATTTTTACCGGGAAACTAAAATTTCGATATAAAAGTCACTCACTGAGAACCTCAAATCAACCCTTGAACATTCCCGTTGCTCTCACCCAAGTTCCCCAAAAAATTTGAGGCAAATCGGTCCATGGGGTTCAAAGTTATGATCAAACAAACAAATAGAGGTTACAACTTAGATATTGGTATCACTCTTTTAAATTTACAATGCTCCAGGGGCTGATATATCTGCTAAGAATGAAGATGAGCAAACACCACTATTGGTTTCGGCCATTCATGGAAGAAATAGGTAATCTTAATAACTATTATGCTTTTTCTTAAAAGGTACCATTGAACTAAACTGAACTTGCTAGTTTAAAAAAAAGTTACTAGGGTTAAATAGAACTTGTTAACGCTAGTCACCAAGTTACTAGGGTTAAATAGAACTTGTTAACGCTAGTCACCAAGTTACTAGGGTAAATAGAACTTGTTACGTTAGTCATCAAGTTACTAGGGTTAAATAAAACTTGTTAACGCTAGTCACCAAGTTACTAGGGTTAAATAGAACTTGTTACGTTAGTCATCAAGTTACTAGGGTTAAATAAAACTTGTTTAAGCTAGTCCCGAAGTTACTAGGGTTAAATAAGACTTGTTTAAGCTAGTCCCAAAGTTACTAGGGTTAAATACAACATGTTTAGGCTAGTCAACAAGTTACTTGAGTTAAATAGAACTTGTTTAGGCTAGTCACCAAGTAACTAGGTTTAAATAAAACATGTTTAGGCTAGTCACCAAGTTACTAGGGTTAGATAGAACTTGTTAACGCTAGTCACCAAGTAACGAGGGTTAAATAGAACTTGTTTAGGCTAGTCATCAAGTTACTAGGGTTAAATAGAACTTGTTTAAGCTAGTCCCAAAGTTACTAGGGTTAAATAAAACATGTTTAGGCTAGTCACTAAGTTACTAGGGTTAAATACAACTTGTTTAGGCTAGTCTACAAGTTACTAGGGTTAAATAGAACTTGTTAACGCTAGTCACCAAGTTACACTTGGGTTAAATAGAACTTGTTAACGCTAATCACCAAGTTACTAGGGTTAAATAGAACTTGTTAACGCTAGTCACCAAGTTACTAGGGTTAAATAGAACTTGTTACACTAGTCATCAAGTTACTAGGGTTAAATAGAACTTGTTACGTTAGTCATCAAGTTACTAAGGTTAAATAGAACTTGTTTAGGCTAGTCACCAAGTTACTAGGGTTAAATAGAACTTGTTAACGATAGTCACCAAGTTACTAGGGTTAAATAGAACTTGTTAACGCTAGTCACCAAGATACTAGGGTTAAATAAAACTTGTTTAAGCTAGTCACCAAGTTACTAGGGTTAAATAAAACTTGTTTAAGCTAGTCCCAAAGTTACTAGGGTTAAATAAAACTTGTTTAGGTTAGTCACGAAGTTACTAGTGTTAAATTAAACTTGTTTAGGCTAGTCACCAAGTTACTAGGGTTAAATAAGTTTGCTGTTAATGATGAAGATTGCCAATCTAATACAGGTATAAAATTTCTTAAAATTCTAAACGTCACAAAAAGTCTAATAAGGATTTTTTTTTCATTTTTAGCGTTACATCTTGCCTGTATTCATGGACATTATGAAATAGTTTCAACATTAATATCTGGAGATGCCAATATTGTTGCAAGGTTAGTTTTTATCAAATATTATTTGAAAGTTGGATTTGATTGAATTTGAAGTGTTGCAGTTTGGCAATATTAAAGGGAATGTATACATAATTCAAGTGATCCTCCATTTCAAAAGTGACATGCTTATTTACAACGGATATCTTTCAACCTCTCTGGGTAAAATAGAAAAGATTTCGTTTTTTTTTCTAAACGTGTTGCAGTCGGCTAATTTTTCATTCCTCCTGCAGCATATATCAGCAAATCACTTTAAAGTAAAACCACTATTAAAATGGTTGAATTTTAGCTAAAATAATGTGAATATCTTATTCATCCTTGATCAAAGAAAGGTAGTTGAATAGCGCCCTGGTGAAGGACATTGTCACTTTAAACGTCGTTTTTGGTGCGTTCTGTAGTGGTTAGCTTTACAATGACCGACGAAATAGCGGGTGCTGAGCTGGTTCTGAGTGGATGGTGAATAAAGCTGGGTAACGTGACAATATGTCTATATGTTCCTTGAGAAAATATGTTATGTAGGAATTATCATCTTTGGACACCACTAGACTGTGCTGCAGCAAGCGGATGGGTCAAGTGTGCCAAACTTCTTATCAATGTAAGTTTTAATTTAATAATTAATTAGTTTTAAGTATCTTAATGTTGAGCTCCAGGGTTAAACTAGGTTAAAAAAAAGCTTTTAAAAATGCATGGTTATTTATACATTGAAAAATCTACAAAGGAAATTGAATAAAAAATCTAAAGGATCAATAAATTCCACTCGAAATTGTCATGTTTAGTGGAAACTCCTTTATTATTATTTAAAAAAAATTCATTTTGGAGAAAGTTTATGTTAAAAATGGATTTTCCAACCCCTTTATCTTTGCAATCCAATGATGCATACCTTTGATATTTCAAACTTTGAATTCTGACATATCGAAAATTCACACCATCAGGTTGCAAAGATGAAGAGATAAGAAAATTTGAATTAGTAAAGATTTAAATGGTCCAATTTTTTTATTTAAAAATTTGTTTGATTAAGTAATATTTTGATATTGATAATAAACCTTAGTCAAATTGTAGCGAACTGGACTACCTAGAGGGTGTATTGAATCTTCATTTATGTTTAAACAGGGGTTGGATTCAAAGGCGAGTTTTTTCTGGAACATTTGACCTAATCTTCCCTTTGCAATATGTCTTTTCAAATTTCAATCTTCCCTTTGCAATCTGTCTTTTCAAATTTCAATCTTCCCTTTGCAATCTGTCTTTTCAAATATCAATCTTCTCTTTGCAATCTGTCTTTTCAAATATCCATATTCTCTTTGCGATCTGTCTTTCCAAATATCAATCTTCCCTTTGCAATCTGTCTTTTCAAATATCCATATTCTCTTTGAAGTCTGACTTTCCAAATATTAATCTTTCCATTGCAATCTGTCATTTCAATATCCATCTACTCTTTACAATCTGATTTTTCTAATATCCATCTTCGCTTTGCAATCTGTCTTTTCAAATATTAATCTTTTCATTGCAATCTGTCTTTCCTTTGTATGTATTTTCTTAGTAAGATACATTTGCCACTTTTTCTTTCAAACAACAATTTTATTTGCCATTTCTCTCCTTTTAAGAACAATTTTTCTTTTGTAATTAATTAACTAAAATACATTGCACCATGTAATCTTTCCTTTCATAGTCATTTGTAACATTGCAAACCGTCTTTTAAACATTTTATTTTCCCTTTGCATCAGACCTTTCAGTGAGAATTTTTTATTTACAGTGTGTTTTTTGCTATAAATATTCTCTTTGCAATATATCTTTTCTTATCTTCTTCAGTAATTTGTCCTTTAAATATTAATCTTCCTCCTGGAAATATTTCCAGATTAATCATATATATTGCAACCTAACAATGTAAACCTTTTATATTTCAAACTTAACTTATTTGATCTAACTGAATTCAAAGTTTGAAACATCAAAGGTTATGGCATTGGGTTGCATGGATATAGGGGTTGGTAATCAAAGCTTGTGGGAGAACTGCAATCTTTACTTTTAAAGATTAACCTTTTAATCTGCAATTTATCTATTAATGAATCAATTCTTCCCCTTTTCAATTTGTTCTTTTAAAAATAATTTTTCCATTTTTAAACTGTCATTTAAAAATTTTATTATTCCTTTGTAACATATCTGTAATTATGGAATATTAGTTTTCTGTAGACATCTCATCTGGACTACAACGGACAATTTTAGATATATCTTTTGCAATTGATTTTAAAAAGATCAATCTTTTAATTGTAATCTCTTTTTTTTAAAGATTAACCTTTCTTTTCAATTTGCACTTTCATAGATTTATTGGTTTATAAAATCAAGTTTGGGTAAGCAAATTTTTTTACAAAATATCTTTCGTTTGAAATTTATCTTTTTCTGCTTATTTTTAGTTTAGAATATTGTTCTGTACAACGAAGTCTTTTTTTAAGCAAGATATGCTTTCTTAGACATTTAATGCTATGTAAAATTAGCATTTTACATCAATAAATAAATTTGGTTTTTCTGTCTGTTTGTTCGTCTGTTTGTTTGTATCCAATAAACGTCAAAACGGCTGAACCGATCGGGCCCAAATTTTTTGTGGGACATCTAGAGACCCTAGGGAAGGTTTATGAACGATCAAAATTTTAAAGATTTGTCTCCATCAAAATTCGATCTTCATTAAAATTTTTAAAATTTTGAAAATCCACGAATTTTTTTGTGAAAATCCGCGAATTATTTTTGTTTTGTTTTACGATGTACACAAAGAGAACATGTTCACAATTAATTTAGAAGATTAATGAGTCAATTTGTCAAAATAATAATGTGAATAATAATAATAAAATAATAAACTAATTAACAAGAAAACTCTATAACTTGGTGCTTTTATTGATTTTTGTTCATAAGTTAATGCTTTCTTAAAATTCTTTTTGCACATTTTCTGTGTTTAGCTTGCACAGTGTAAACTTGTAAAACAAACTTACAATGAACAATTATAAATGACGTAATTTAGTTCGATGTAAAATTGTTACATTTTTTCAACAACTTTGAGTGTAGACAAAAATATCACGTTTAAGTAAATTTTTTAATCTAAGGAACATTTTCAAAAAAAATACGACTAAATAAAAAATGAAAAATTCAAAATTTTTAGTTTTCTATTTTAATCTAATTAATTCAAGAGAATTCTGTTTTTATTTAAAAAAAAAAAATCTAATTGTGGTTTTGCGTAAATTGGAAAACATTGACATAAAATGTACATTGTACAAGAGTAGTATCGGATATTGGTTTTCTTTAAAATATTCAGTCAAGAAATAGATTTTTGTAAAATTACTTTCAGGAATATGAAATATTTTTTTTTTTGGTTTTGTGCTGGAGTAATGATACAAAGGTCTGGAGTAATGATCCCAGGGTCTGAAGTAATGATCCCAGGGTCTGGAGTAATGATACCAGGGTCTGGAGGAATGATCCCAGGGTCTGGAGTAATGATCCCAGGGTCTGGAGTAATGATCCCAGGGTCTGGAGTAATGATCCCAGGGTCTAGAGTAATGATCCAAGGATCTGGAGTAATGCTACCAGGGACTGGAGTAATAATGCCAGGGTCTGGAGTAATGATGCCAGGGTCTGGAGTAATGATACCAGGGTCTGGAGTAATGATACCAGGGTCTGGAGTAATGATAATTGGGTCTAGAGTAATGATACCAGGGTCTGTAGTAATGATACCAGGGTCTGGAGTAATGATACCATGGTCTGGAGTAATGATCCCAGGGTCTGGAGTAATGATGCCAGGGTCTGGAGTAATGATACCAGGGTCTGGAGTAATGATCCCAGGGTCTAGAGTAATGATCCCAGGGTCTGGAGTAATGATTCCAGGGTCTATCCAGGGTCTGGAGTAATGATACCAGGGTCTAGAGTAATGATCCCAGGGTCTGGAGTAATGATACCAGGGTCTGGAGTAATGATCCAAGTGTCTAGAGTAATGATACCAGGGTCTGGAGTAATGATCCCAGGATCTGGAGTAATGATACCAGGGTCTGGAGTAATGATACCAGGTTCTAGAGTAATGATCCCAGGGTCTGGAGTAATGATACCAGGGTCTGGAGTAATGATCCCAGGATCTGGAGTAATGATCTCAGGATCTGGAGTAATGATCCAAGTGTCTAGAGTAATGAATCCAGATACAACTCAATCCCTCTAGTTGGTCTACCAGGCAAAAGAGCTAATCAGTTAAACAACTCTTCACTATCATTGTCAACACCAACACAATCTCATTAACTATCCATGTCAAACACAAACACAATCTCATTAACTATCCATGTCAAACACAAACACAATCTCATAAACTATCCATGTCAAACACAAACACAATCTCATAAACTATCCATGTCAAACACAAACACAATCTCATAAACTATCCATGTCAAACACGAACACAATCTCATGACCTATCAATGTCAAACATGGACACGATCTCATAAACTATCCATGTCAAACACAAACACAATCTCATAAACTATCCATGTCAAACACAAACACAATCTCATTAACTGTCCATGTCAAACACGAACACAATCTCATAAACTATCAATGTCAAACACAGACACGATCTCTCTAACTCATGCGCTAAACGAGGAACAATTACTTCTCTTGCTGTAATCTAAGCGGAGTCTATTACAACTGACGTGTATTTAGATATCTATGTTTGAGGTTAAGTTAATTTATGTATTTACAAGATTTGCGGAGATATATATCTATAAGCGTAGTTAAGCTAATCACAATACAGGTTTGACATATTTACGGAACAATATAGGCTATAGTCAATCGCATTACAAGTTTTGTGTAATCAATGATAAGCACATTTAGATTTACAGACAATGTACAACGTAATATATCCAGGTATGTTCAGGTTAACAAATATGGGGATTGCCGATATTTGCTATATGGAGTAATGATCATAGGGTCTAGATTAATGATTCCAGGGTATGGAGTACTGATCCCAGACTATGGAATAATGATCCCAGGGTTTATAGTATGATCTCAGGGTCTGGAGTAATGATCCAAGAGTCTTGAGAAATGATCCCATGTTGTTTTTTACCAAGAAAAGTTATTTGGGTATTTCTATATGAAACAATTTTTGGCTGCTTTTGTACTTTTTGAATTATTATCTTTTGAGATTTATTATAATTGATGTGATACTACTCAGGCCCGAGCTCCAGTTGATCCAATGGATAAGAAGAAGACAACCCCTCTACATTTATCCGCCAAATTTGGGCATGCCGAGGTCACAGAACTCCTATTGGAGCACGGGGCATCAGTTCAGTAAGTGGATTTGACAAATTTTTTAAAACGGATTTTTTAAGAAATCTAAGGTCCACGTTAAAGAAAAGTAAAATGCCCTCAAAATCTTGGTGAGTTTTAAGTGTCAAATTGAATAAGATCCTTTATCATATAAATTTTACAAACTCTTATTTTAGTCTGAATATTGCAACTTGGATTCATATTCGGACTTTTCTTAAATATTATGGTCTTATTTTCAAATATTGATTTTCTAAAAGATTGGAACATGGAAAGTGAAAAAGATTATTTGTATTCCGCTTTGTTCTGGCTATAATTATATTTGCATGAACAAACAGAAAGTAAATATACTTGTTCAAACCAGAATTATGCTTTTTATGCTTTAAATAAACTTGAATTTGTTAATAATTCATTTTGTTCCAACTTGCTTTGGTAAAATTTCAATTCTTATGATTTTTAGAATAAGAGATATAACCGGTAGAAATGGTCTAGACGTAGCAATCCAATATGACAACAGGTGAAAATAATTTTGATAAAGTTCGTAATAGACAAAAATCTTTACCTTCTACTATTCTGTCAGATCTTCTTTTTTCTAATTTTCAGTAGTTGGTTCGGAATAAAAGTTATTTCTGGATTCAATGTCAATCCACCGGTGACATTAAAGAGATTTATCAAAATACAAAACATTTTAAAATAGAAAAAAATAGGATATCTTATATACTTACATAACTTACAGGTTTGATGTGAATCTAACACGTTATTTTTTAATGGAGGGTGACTAATAAAAATCTCCTTATTCTTTTTAGAAATGTAGTTGTAGTTATACTGGAGAGTAATCAATGGGAGAGTGCTCTAAGAAATGAGTACTGCACAAATGCAGGAATTTTAATCATTTCAAAATATCCTAAAATATAACATTTATAGAATTTAAAACACTGTGAACTTGACACAAGGAGAATGTAGAATTTGTTGCGACATTACTGGTACGCCTTTGTGACCTTGTAGCTTCTCTGTTTTGTGCTTTGAACAAGTATAAGAAAAGCAAATTAATCCGAATACACAATAGAAATTCAAATTTTTTTTGTTATTTTCAATATTAGCTTTTCAAGAAGATGAGATCAGGAGTCATAATTGAAAATACGTAAAATCTAAATCTTTTATACAATTTAATACAGTTAAACGTAAGAATATTGGATTAACAAAAAGCTTTATTTTCTAGTTTCTACAGAATTTTCTTTATTTTTGTATTTTCTATTTATTTTTATTTTCTGGTTTCACAGAATTTTCTTGATATCCGTATTATTTTGTTTTGTGAATACCTTCCAGACATTAATTTTAACAATGGAATTTTCAATTTTCATTTCATACAATTTTTTAATTTTTAAAATTTCAAGATGTACGGGAAACACCTCTGAGGCTATTAATTAAAAAGTACCCAGACTTAGGTAAATATACAATATTAAAAAAATAAAGGTTATAACACCGGTTTTATAGGTGAGAAAGGAACTGAGTATTTGCCCCAAACTCAAATTTTCTGATTCCTATATCTTTGCAACCTAGTGGTGTCAACCCTTGAGATTTCAAATAAGATTATTTGATGTAACAGAATTCATAGTTTGAAATATCTAAGATCATATGACATTGGGTTGCAAAGATATAGGGATAAGAAAATCAGATTTTGTGACAAAGACTCAATTTCTTTACCATTCTGTTGGGTACACTGTAAAACGCTTTAAAAAGACGAACGTTAAACAACTTTCTTTCTTGGCTTCTGTTCTAAAACAGCATTAAAAATGTCAAGAAAAAGGAACCTGTTTTTTTATTGGACAAAAAAGCAGTTTCAATTCGTTAAGATTTTTTTCAAAAGACACCTGGATAGAATGGATTACTCTCCGCTAAACCCAAGCATCAAAAGCTTATAACTACTCTCTGTCTATTCTAATTTTACTGTCAAGTACCATAAATTCTAGTAAAACTTTTTGAAAAAATTTGGACAAAAAGCAAAAAAATTAATTAAGGCAGAAAAAGTACATATTATATACTGACTGATTTTTACTTATTTCAGCCAAGCTTGTGTTTGATAAGTGTGTCACAACAAACCAGCATAATTCAAAGCTTACTCAGAACACAAAAACTGTTTCTGCAGTTGATAAAAAACTAGAGGTAAAACCATTTAACCAGAGATTACAGAAAACACCAAGGAAATAGGAAATATACGAGTTTTCCTAAATATAAATATTTAAGTCTCTTTGGGACTGAAAAGCAGTTAAAAGTGTAGATAGTTTATTCACATATTATACGAAGAACATCAAAATAATAAAATCATAATTACAATTGTTCTTTTTTTAGGTTATAAAATAAACTTTTAAAGTTGTCAAGGTGAAATAAAATCATTATTTGATTTAAGATTTGAATGTCAAAATCATTTTTATGATAGTTTTTTCTAAAAGGATTTCCTGGTCCCTAAAGGCTATTAACAACCGAAGTATCTTGTATGCCTGCAGTACGGTGACAATAAAACAAAATGACGGTTTAATTATTTTTAATGCTATTTATTTTGTAATGACAGAAATGAATCGTTTTTGTTTTCGTTTTAAAACGACAAAGAAAAAAACGAAAAACGAAACGGTCGTAAACGAAAGATGGTAGTTTTTAGTTTTTGACGATCGTTAGCAATCTTTAACGATTGTTAACAACGACCCTTCATTTTCGACCGTTATCGACGACCCTTCGTTAACAAATTAATCAATGACAACCTTTTTAGGACAAAATATATTTTTTGGCCGGAAAACCTTAGGTCAGAAAACATTTACGTTTTTTCTCTAAGTAAAAACAACATTTAAGAAAAAAAATTGAAAATAATTTTCATAAAACTCAGATTCATTAGAAACCCCTTTTTAGAAAATCTAATATTAAAAGAACGATCTTTTCACCGTCCTCCTGTACCCGCTTTAACTGTATATTTTTCTTTAATCCTTTTTGTCCTGGTTGAAATCATGGCCAAATTTTGTCATGTATCCTTCTAAACGTGATAATTGAATTAAAGATTGTTTTTAACATCTTAAATATGTATCCAGTGTTACTCACAAAAGGATGAAACTGTAGAGACTATATGAAACGCTTAAAACATTACAATTCCAAGGTTAAATTAAATCCTCTGATTTAAATATAGCCTTTTTTGTGGCATTTTTAGTGAAATTCAGTGCAATCGTCTTCGAAGTTTCATCCTTTGTGAGTAACCCTGTTTAATGACAACTTGTGTTTTAAAACACGTTGCATCACACTTTAGAAACCCATTATGTCTTGCAACCTTGTCTTTATAACTTGACGGCTTTCAAAGGTCAAAAAGACCTTGAGTTCGTCGTTTAAAATTAATGTACATTGTACGTATTGCGTATAAACGGTTTAACATCAATTGCACCAATTTAAGACCAGAATGCATTCAACACAAACTTGTTCTTGTTTGAAATATTAACGCTTAAAATTTAGAGAAAACGGTTTTTTTAATATTCGCCATTGAAATTTTTATTTTGAATTTCATAAACTTATTACCACTTTGTTAAGACATTCTATAGTTTACTAGCATGGGACAAACAGACAGACAAACAGAGATTACAATAAAAATACATATCAAAATGAGGAATTGAAAAACTAAGAAGATTAAGTTCACTAGCACTACTCAAATATTATTCTTTTAGATATATCAAATCTGATCATTTAATGATTTTAGTTTACCAAATATAGGTTAATTCACATTGAGAACAAAATCTAACATGTAAATCCATTAAAAATAAATGCAAAAGCAAAATTGGCTTTATTTGCAGATTATTTAGCTTAATGGGCATATAGAAATATGTACAATTAGTTTTTCCCACGGTCAGCTTTAGTGCTAGATCTTTCAAAACGTTTGTAAATTATCTTAAAGTCATGATAAACAAATTCACCATTTTGATCAGCATATATCTATATGGATTTTTGAATGAGAGGCAAAGATAAAAATTATTTTTCCCATTTTCAGCCTGAAAAGGCCATAATTTTAACAATTATGGGTCGATTTTGTAGAAAATAGTAAAAATCCAACAGGTGCATTTAATAAACGAATTACCAAATTTGTTAATCATGAATGTAAGAAAATTTATAGATGTTTTGAAAACTCTATCTCTAAATCTGACCATGGGAGAAACTTAAATGGGCTTTTTGCATATATTTCTTTATAGAACTAGAGCTAAATAACTTGCAAACCAAGCCAATTTTTGCTGTTGCATTTATTTTTCTTGGATATGCACATTAGATTTAGTTCTCAATGTGAATTTACCAATATTTGGTATTTTTTATAAAATTTGATAAATCTACAAGACCTATTAATTGAGTAGTGCTAGACACGAGTCCTTGCGCTCAAATATCAAACTCTTCTGCACATTGTACTTCATTGTGAACAAGTCATGAAGAAGAAGGTCAAACTTAAGCGACTTAATGGTACGACTTTGAGACCTTGTAGCTCCCCTGTTTTTGATATTACGCAAAAATATCAAAAGTCAATTGATCAAAAATCTTTAAATGATCAAAAAAATGTACGTTAAACAGTTAGGAAAACTTTTTTTCAAAAATATCATACAATTTTACAATTAACTTAATTTTAAAGTTTAAGGTATTCTTAAACATTTATTTATGATTAAACGTCTGTAAACTGCAAACTCTCTTTTTCACGCAATCCATTTTGACTTTTTTCTCTTCTCTTCTATTTTCTACTCTTCTTTTCTATTTTCTTCTCCTTTCTTCTCTTCTTTTTCTTCTCTTTTCTTATTTTTTCTTCTATTTTTTCTCTCTTTTTTCTCATCTTTTCTTTAATTTTCTTCTCTTCTCTACTCTTCTGTTCTCTTATCTCTTTCATCTCTTCCCTTAACTCGTATCTCCTCTTTGTTGTTGACATTTAACCGGTTTTGACATGAACAATGCAGTACGATCCGTTGTTATGATTTTTCTCTGATTTGTTTACATCTCTAGCTTGTAGACCTAATTGAAACGTACTGCGTTTGTACTCCATAATTAGGCATTTGATCATTTGGCATTTGATATTTTGATGTTTTTGGGATATTACACTGTAAGAGAAATATTAGATAAACAAATCAAGTTTACTTTTCTCAGTATAACATTTAAATAAGCGGAGTTATGATTATATAAGATTTCAATCGTATGTGTAGTTTACTTTAGCTTGACATGATACGACATGCCAGGAGAGGTAATCCGATTTGGCGTGTTGAGAACAATTTAAAAGTTTTGATCTCATGATTTTTATTCTAAGGTTGTGATGAATTATGAGTTCTTAGATGATACATATTCAGTTTATCATCTTAACCAGCATGAATCACAAGATGAAACACATACAGCACATTTCAAGGTATATTCCAGAATGTTATACACACTGAACTAAGCTAGATGAGGTAGGTAAAATAGGCCTAAGATAGGCCGGGCGGGTACTGTAAAAAGTCAGGCCGCGCCATCAAAATTGAAACCAAGCCTGCATAGGATAGGGTTGGCCCAGTCCTTGCTGTACGTCACATAGGCCGGCACAAGGTGCAATCCGGTCACGCACCTCTGATCCTTTAGTAAAAATAAATTCTACCTAAAGTCTGACCGCGTCAACCTTGTTGCACCGGCTAGTCATATTGAGTGTCTGCTTTATTTATTTCCGGCGATACAGTACAAACTAGGAACGGAAAGGTTGACCCGGCCCGGAAATTCAAATGTAATACGGCTGCCCGTGCGGTTCGAATTCAAATAGACCCTAGTTCACTTAAGTGACCCTATCTCCATCTGAAGAGTATCTTGCCAATGTCCAGTTCACAACAGTACCTTCTCAGCCTCTTCAAAGAAAAACGATAGGAATATCCATGTTTTTTATATCAAAAATTTTCATCACATGAAGATTACAATAAAAAAATGTCGTATTTCAATCCGACCTACGCCATTTTCTTAATAGTTTTAATCAATTACAAATGACCACCCTTTTCGAAAAATTGATGACAAAGAAAAAAAACTTGTCTGATTTCGTACCATCAGATTAAAAGCTAAACGCTAATAAATTGCTACGGTCTGATAAAGATTGCATTTCAAGGTTTTGTACTTTTGATTTGATTATCATTCAGCCCTATTTCAATGTATTCGAACCTGAAACAAATTATCACCATCTTAAAGGGACTGTCAGCGTAATTTAAAGTGACCCTTCACGCAAAGATAACAATGCTCGATTCACAACAATACCCTTAATCAAAAGCTTTGTCTGAATAAAAATAAATTAGATATCAATGTTTTTAATTTTGAAAACTATTTATTTTCAATTGTGGTTTCTCTGCAAAAGTGATGGCGCATTTATACTGCAGGAAAATGTATTGGAATTATCAGAATTAAATACTTTTAAACCTAGAAAACCGTCAATATCTTCCACATTATTTACCAGATAAAAGGCTTATCTTTGAGTATAGATATCACTTCAAAGTACGCGTACCGCTACTTCCCTGTAATTTCATACCCGTATATCATTGTGCAGATTATAGTCTAATAACATACCATTATTGGAAAATGCAATGCATTGCATTTTAAGTTTTGCATTATTGTTTTATGATGTTGTTGCCCTGTAGCACTTTATACAAAGCAATAAATGATTAAGCAATTTATTATATTACTTATTTTTTTAACATTAATAACTAAAGAAATGTTATTTGATCCAATAAATTCAAACTCTGGTTTTCAAATCTTTATAGCGTAATATTTTAGCTATCAAAGTGAAAGTTTGCAAAGATATAAGGATTAGAAAATTTGAAAAGGATTATCTGTAGCTTCCTTCTTTTATTTACAGTCATAATCAGAAAGACCCGTAAGTAATTGACAGTTCATCAATCATCAGAGAGGAGTTTATAAATATATCAGGGAGGAGTTTATAAATATATCAGAGAGGAGTTTATAAATATATATCTGATAATTTTAAACACACAATAAAGGAGAACTCCATTTTGGAATTGGCAGGGCTGGGTCTATCTTGTTATCATCGTTTTATTAATTTTTAAAATTATTTGTAAAGTCGTCTGATTAATTATAAATTAATTCCGGGTCTTTCTGGCTATGACAGTGTATACTTTGCTTGTTTTTCTGCCTGTTTAAAAAAACGTCAAAATGGATGAACCAGTAGGCTGTCAAAGTTTAACAATTTTGACTAAAACAAAATATGGCGAATTCAGAGCAATGCGCAGTTGAAAGCTTAGATTATTAATACATTTAGTATAATAGAGAAAAGGAATTAGGTCTTTGCCACAAAATTTTTTTTTCACATCCCTATATCATTTTAACTTGATGGTGTCAAGCTCTGATGTTTCAAATTTGGACTTTAATCTATCAGAATTTATTTATTGCAATTTCTAAGTTCTACGACTTAGACTTGCAAAGATATAAGGATTAGAAATTCAAAGGTTATTACAAAAACTATATTCCTTTGCATTCATTGCATTCATTATTATTATTATAAAGATTTATTCACACACAAAGATATAAATACACTTATAAATGGTGTAGTTTAAATTTATTTAAATACATTTTTAAAGATACAGCTTTCCAAAAGAATAGAGAAAAATATGCAAAATTATGCACAAAGAGACGACATTGATCATTACTCATTACAAACCATATTTATCATTTCAGTTATTACGTAATCATCGAATCCTTCAACATATAAATTATTCGTTCTTGTATTTAAAAGTTCTTGTAAAACCGGAACTTTCCATGCATGTTCCAAAGGGACATAAAAATATTTCAATTGTTTCTTAACTAACATTTTACTAAGATCCGAAAATAAATTTCTATATTTACATTTAATTTTATACCCTTCTTATTGTGCAGATTATAGTCTAATAACATCCCATAGAGATAGAGATAGAAAGACAGATGTTACCGCCATGCAATTTCTATTGGTTCAGAATAGACAACAAACACATGGCTGAACCCTGATTGGATCAGTCAGGTGCTAATAGACTCGTCATACAGGAGTGCATTGCATTTTCAGTTTTGTATTATTGTTTCATGGATTTTGTTGCCCTGTAGCCCTTTACAAAGCAATAAATTATTAAGCAATTTATTATATTACATATTTTTTAACATAAAATTTAAATTGAACTATAATTAATGTTCCGCTCCTTTCAAACTCTTGTTTTCGAATCTTTGCAGCATAATATTTAAACTATGAAAGTGAAACAAAAGTTTGCAAAGATGTAAGGATTATAAAATTTGAAAAGCATTAGCTTCTTTCTTTTATTTACAGTCATAATCAGAAAGACCCGTAAATAATTGACAGTTCATCAATTATCAGAGAGGAGTTTATAAATATATATCTGGTAATTTTAAACGCACAATAAAGGAAAAACCCATTTGGAATTGGCAGGGCTGGGTCTATTATCGTTTTATTAATTTTTAAAATTAGAAGTAAAGTCGTCTGATTAATTACAAATTAACTCCGGGTCTTTCTGATTATGATAGTATATACTTTGCTTGTTTTTCTGCCTGTTTAAAAAAAACGTCAAAATGGATGAACCAGTAGGCTGTCAAAGTTTAACAATTTTGACTAAAACAAAATATGGCGAATTCAGAGCAACGTGCGGTTGAAAGCTTAAATAATTAATACATTTAGCATAATATAGAAAAGGAATTCAGTTTTAGTCACAAAAAAAAAATTTGCATCCCTATATCTGTGTAACTTGATGGTGACAAGCTCTGATTTTTCAATTTGGACTTTAAATTTTAATCTATCAGAATTTATTGATTGAAATATCTAAGCTCTACGACTTAGGGTTGCAAAGATATTAGGATTAGAAATTCAAAGTGTGTTACAAAAACTATATTCCTTTGCATTCATTGCATTCGTTATTATTATAAAGCTTTATTTACACACAAAGATATAAATACATATATAAATGGTGTAGTTTAAATTTGTTTAAATAAATTTTTGAAAATACAACTTTCCAAAANATAAAAGAACAAGACTACTTCAACATCCTTTATGTTTATCATTAGTCAGGTTAGGTTTATCATGATTCTAGGATCATAAAAATCAACTTCGCAGGATACTGATGTCTAATTTGATGCCGAGAATGGACAACTTTACCGAATTGTAGGAGTAAAACCACAAAACAAAAGTGTGTGCAATGGACATCGAGTTCAGCCGTCATGTATTTAAGCGCAATTTCCACAAAAGTTTCTCCTTCAGAGTGCTTGACTTTTTGTATGCAGTCATTATCATGGGAAAAAAATTAAATTTCCCCACATTTCCGGTTTCATCCTGTATTGTTTTTAAAGCATATATACAAAACATAAATTTACAAAACATATCCAAACGAAAAACATATCTAATCAAGTCTATCAAATCATAACATATCTCTTACAAAAAATATCTTGACAAAACATATCAAACGCTGAAATATATCCACAACAAAACATATATTAAGCACAAAACTATCTAAAATTATCTAAAAGAACTAAGATTAAATGAATCTTAAATAAATCGATATTGTATGTTTTTCTTAAAAACAATAAATTCTGTCCATTTCTTTCCTTATCTTATTTGTGGATATATTTGTTTGTACCGTTGGAATTTTTTGAATAAAATTTACATTCTGTTTAGGAGAAAATGGAACAAGTTTGCACGTTATGTATTCTACTTCAACGTAATGTTCTACAGTATATTCCTGGCCTGTTTAACTGTATATATGCAGCTAAGTCCCAGGCCATACAAGCTGGAGGATATCTTGGAGTACAGCCAGAACCCTAAGTAAGTAATTATTTGATTGGAAACTTACAGAACCTTACTGATAATCAAAAAATATGTTTCGATTATTGGACTCAACAAATTTTTTTGGCTAAAATAAACAAAAAGAAAAGATGATTAAATCTAACATATATTTAAATTATTTCTTGAGCTATATAATACAGCTATTCGCTCATTTAGAAAGTTCACTATAGCTGGCTAAACGGCTATATAAAGGAATTGAGTCTTCGCCACAAACTCTGAATCTCTAATCACTATATCTTTGGAACCAAATGTTGCAGACCTTAGATATTTCAAACTATGAATTCTGTTAGATCAAGTAAGCTGAGTTTGAAATATCAAATGTTTACAACATCGAGTTCTAAAGATATTGAGGTTTAAATGTTTGATTTTGTTCCAAAATTTGCTGAGGAAATCCATGGTTGGGGTGAGGTGGGGGTTACATGGGGGAAAAAAAGGGAAATTTTCAAAATTCAATTGGCATGGCCGGGTACTTCAGGTACAACCAGTGATTTACAACCAAGTGCGGGTAAACGGATAGCTAATAAATTAGCTGTAATATTTTAGGTAACCCATGGCCGGTATCACAGGGAAGACATATTTTTATTTTTACTTTTGAAATTCAACAGGCAACGTCGGGCATTTTAGTTTAATCTTAATTTAATACCTATAGCGCGGGTAAACTGTGGGAGTAGTTCTCTGACCATGAATGATTATATTAAAATAATTTGGATAAAAAGAATAAAAAAACAAATAAATAAGTTGAACATACAAATATTCAGAAAAGTGTGGGATTTATTAATTTGATANAATGGTAATTTCAAGTGACTTGCTCATAATAGAAGAAGTGGAAAATTATCAGAATTAAACACTTTTAAATTAAAAAATCGACGACATTTTTTACATTTTTGATCAGATAAAGGTTTAAAGGGAATCGTAAATCGGGCATTGTTATCTGGACAGGAAGTATCACATAAAATTACGCTTACAGTCCCTGTAATTGTAGAATATCATTAGACCTTGCTTTAAATACATTTTTTTAGGTTCTTTGAATAGTATTTTACAGTCTTTTCCTCTTTTTGGTTAATTGTTTCCTATTTGTATGTAAGCTTCTTTTAATTTGAAATTTTTTCTATAATCCTAGTAATCTCTTACCGTTCAATTGATTTCCCTTTTTTTTACTAATTTAATTCTTTTTAAAGATTTAATTATCTTTCAGACTTAATCCCCTGAATGATCTATACGTACAGCTGAATCTTCATATATTGTCATATAACGATTAATCTGATTATATTTCCTAAAACAAATTTTCTAATCCTAATGGTCCAAAACCCAAATCTTTTGTGTTGGATCACATAATCCTGATGGATTGATATCAAGGTCCACTGTTAGCACTTTTAAATTGAGGATCAATGCTTAATTGCTTCAGTTCAGCTATTCCTGCCCAGCCGGATATCAAATTGAGATTAGATTAATCCGAAGATTAATTATAGATAAAGCTTAACTATGGTTTAGATATTAAAGTATTAGATAGTTCGAGTTTGATGCTTTAGAAGTCCGAGCACTTGAGGGTTACTCAGATACTTGTAATGATTCAAGCCATATTCTGGATTGTCAAAGAGTTTCTGCAATTTTTGCAGGTATAACTTTTAAGTTTGTTTTTGCAGGTTTATTTTGCAGAGTTGGTTTTTCTTTGATTTTGTGCTTTTGTGAAGATCTAAGGATATTTGTATTAATGTTGATAATCAGAGTCGAGACTAATTTTAGAAAAATTGACTAAGCTCACCAGATCGGGTTCTAACTTTGAACCACGCGCCAATTTTTAAACTCGATATGGAACTTTTAAATCATAGCCTATGATGTCAAAACCACAATTATCAATGCTTTATCCGTTCTAAACATCTGTGTTTCTTTGATAACGCTTTCAAAATATATGGTTAAATGTTTTCTCTTAAACCGTATACTAATTTAATTCTTTTTAAAGATTTAATTATCTTTCAGACTTAATCCCCTGAATGATCTATACGTACAGCTGAATCTTCATATATTGTCATATAACGATTAATCTGATTATATTTCCTAAAACAAATTTTCTAATCCTAATGGTCCAAAACCCAAATCTTTTGTGTTGGATCACATAATCCTGATGGATTGATATCAAGGTCCACTGTTAGCACTTTTAAATTGAGGATCAATGCTTAATTGCTTCAGTTCAGCTATTCCTGCCCAGCCGGATATCAAATTGAGATTAGATTAATCCGAAGATTAATTATAGATAAAGCTTAACTATGGTTTAGATATTAAAGTATTAGATAGTTCGAGTTTGATGCTTTAGAAGTCCGAGCACTTGAGGGTTACTCAGATACTTGTAATGATTCAAGCCATATTCTGGATTGTCAAAGAGTTTCTGCAATTTTTGCAGGTATAACTTTTAAGTTTGTTTTTGCAGGTTTATTTTGCAACGTTTTTCTCTGATTTTGTGCTTTTATAATGATCTAAGGATATTTGAATTAATGGTGATAATCACTAAGGACTCTGTTGTCAAAACCACAATTATTTGTATAGAAATTCAATGCTTTATCCGTTCTAAACAACTGTGTTTCTTTGATAACGCTTTCAAAATATATGGTTAAATGTTTTCTCTTAAACCCTAAAAAGGCTGGGGGGTCTGAATCTATGTATAGCCTGGGGGGGGGGGGGCGTTTGGTGCCCCCTCCTCCTAGAAAAAGGCCTTAGAGAATAGATATTAAAATGCCTGTTTATAGCCCAATTTTTCAAGGCCAGCTTATAAAAAAATTAGACTCATAACTTTTATAGTTTGGGTGCTAGGGAGGGTTGACAAAAATGTCTAAAAAAGGGTAAAAAATAAAAAAAAATATTTGTTTTGTTTTTAACAAATATCAAAGTGTGACACATGTTTCCACATTAATTTTAAAGGGATTTTCAAAAATGTAGATCTGTAGCTTTAGTCACAAACAATTGTTATGGGCTATTTCTGATGTTTTTTTTCACAAAAATTTTCCCGGTGATAGTGTTAAAAATAAGAGTGCTAGAACAAAAAAAAATAAAGCCAGCCTATTTAGGGTTAAAAGGAATTGATTCTTTGTCATAAGCTCTGATTTTGAATTTCCTATATTTTTGCAACCTCATGAGATAGACCAGAGATATATCAAACTATGAAGTCTGATAGATCAAATAATCTAAGTTTGAAATATCAGATTGCAAATATATAAGGATTTGAAAATTTGAGGATATGGCAAAGACTCAATTCATTTACAGTAAGTTACTTACTTACATTTATCATCTGAGTAAGTTTTAAGAATTTTTTTCTCAGCCTGACTTTCCTCAAATATGTAATATGCTACTGTTAGACGTTAAAGGACAATAAATATTTCCAAATCTGTTTACAATTTGATTTCATTTCATCAGAATATCTTTGATTTATTTTCTTAAAAATTGATGTCATGCTTAGTATGAAAAAAAATATTTTCCTTTTTTGTTAAAAAAGGAAATATTTTTTTGAACGGTTCATGTTTTACATTTTCTCAGTAAAAACTGATGAAAGTGTTGTTTGAAAGTTGATTTAGTTTTTTGTGTGTGATTTTTTAGAACATTGATAGCGACCCGGATAGTAGCCCGGTAAGGTTGATGTGGAAGATGATGAAATTTACAGAGTTTTTTTGAACAATTGAAAATGATTACATTATTGTAAAGCTATCTATCTAAAATGGATTATTAGAGAATGATAAAATAAGACTTTTTTTATGACTCTGTAAAAAATCATTCTCTCTTGAAGCATGCTTTAAAACAATTAAAAAATAATTAAAGTTCTAAATGTTATCTCTAAGTATGGAAGCCAAGGACCTGATTTTTGCCACCAGCTCTGATTTTCTATTTCCTAAATCTATGCAACCCGAAGTCGTCGACCCTTGAAATTTCAGATTATCGATTCTGTTAGATCAAATAGTCTAAGTTTAAAATAGCAAAGGTTTATGCCAAAAGGTTGCAAAGAGGGATGAGAACATTTGAGTGTGTGAGGAAAACTCAGTTCCTTTATTCAAAATGGAATGTTTGCATGATTTTTATACATTTTTTAATCCAATAAAGCCAACCCCTTTCCTGTCTGTATAGGTCAAATGCATACTATTTTTAAAAAAGGCATAATTATATTGATATTTTTCTTTAAAAAAAATTTTTTTTTTTTACCTTAAGCTTGTTTTGCTAATTCATTTTTTCCCTTTGATTTTTATTTCGGGAAGCATTATTCTATAATCTCTATGTTTACCTTTACATTGTTTACATTTTATAAAAACACACAAAATTAACCATTTTTAATTTTTTAATCCCAAAGATGTTTCTGAAAGATCGATTATTTCTGTCAGGATATTATCCTCAAAACCTAGTTTTCTTGTGAGGGAACTGATAAATTGTACCAATCTTAATTTTTTTTAAATTCCGATATCTTTGCAACCTGATATCATAGAAATTGAAAAGGTTGTGCCGAATGGCCTGCATTGAACCCTCATAACAAGTTATCTGTAGGTGGAGACATAAAGGACAATTTTTTCATTGTATTTTCTTCGTCTCAAATATACTATCTAAATAAGCTGATGTATACCCCGTATCTGATGGAAATTTCTCTTTCATATTAATTACCAAATAAAAGTTCTTGAACAGTTTAAATGGGTTTTATTATTTGTAAGAAATATACACCCTGAAATTTAGCACAGTGAATGTTGATATTCATTTATGTCTCCAAATTCCTAGTTTTCTAGCCTTTTTATTCCAAACAAAGGTATTAGAAAATATAGTTTGTGACGAGTAATTTGTTACTTTCTGACACTTTCAAATTTAATGGTTTTCTTTATTTAAAAATTTGAGACAGAGTGCATTGAATTAAGAAGATAAACAGTCTCTTTAATTGCTTTACCAGTACGAATGATTCCAATATATATTTGTTCAGCGGCAACTGAATTATCTAAGCTGGGACAATTTAATGGACATTTTCTGTTATATTGCTGGGTTCTTAATAGGTAAAAAACTTTTAAACACAATTATGACAATTGCATTATGACATTGCAACCCTGAAACCAGGATTGCAATGCTAGATTGCAACCCTAGGGTTGCGAATTTTTCTGCCATTGTTTTTTAACATACTGTTTGTAATTGCTATCAAATATTTAAAATTTCAAAATCAACAGCAATATAAGAATTTAAAAATCATTGTATTTTAGTTTTTGATTTCGATGATTGCCAAAGCCTAACTGGATTAAGAAGAGACTGGCAGTGGCAGTTAGGTAATTCTTATTTTTGGCATTGGCCTGGCTACTCATAGTTAATCCCGCCATTTACCCGCGCTTGGTCTCAAACCATGGTTTTTTTCAGTGTCCAGGGTTGTTAGTGGAATTTTAAAAAATCGCCATCATGGTGATAACTATTTTTCTTGGAATTTTAGTATTTCCAAGCTTATTAAATGAAGGATAAACTATTTAAAACCCGAGTTTTTAGCCTATGTTACCTTCAGCCAATTTGGTTCAGCCGTTTGGCCAGCTATAGGCTGCTAAAACACATGGAGAAGCAAAGAGCTTTAATTTAAAAAACTGTCCAGTGTTTTATACATTCCTTATACAATACAAAAACCCGATTTATTAAAAATCAATGTTGTCAAATTGCAATAATTTAAATAAAATTTGTACAGGCGCGTTTACAGTAACATTAGCCTGGTTGAACTTCCTTTCTCTTCTCAGGTAGGACAGTTAATAGTTTTTAAAGGGACTGTATCCTCTCTCTTCTCAGGTAGGACAGTTAATAGTTTTTAAAGGGACTGTTTCCTCTCTCTTCTCAGGTAGGACAGTAAATAGTTATTAAAGGGACTGTTTCCTCTCTCTTCTCAGGTAGGACAGTTAATAGTTATTAAAGGGACTGTTTCCTCTCTTTTCTCAGGTAGGACAGTAAATAGTTATTAAAGGGACTGTTTCCTCTCTCTTCTCAGGTAGGACAGTTAATAATTATTAAAGGGACTGTTTCCTCTCTCTTCTCAGGTAGGACAGTTAATAGTTATTAAAGGGACTGTTTACGTAGTTTATAGAAACCTGATTGTCCGGTCCGATTTACAACGGTACCTTTGTCATATCAACAATATCCTTTTATACTAAAAATTAATCGCCAGAACTAGTTTCCTGAATTTTTTTAATACGAATACAATCCCTTTTTTAGTTTTTGAGTCATGGTTTAAAGGGATTTAACTTTATGTAAGTTTTTCGTAAATCGTTGCCAATCCAATTTTTACGGTGAATTAGGGGTCATGAGCCTCAACTTTGGAATAGAGATTTTTAATTTTTTTTGTTTTGTATTTTTTGTTGGACTTTATATTTAAAACATGTCTTTTATGATATTTTTTACGAATTCTAAATTTTAAATCATCGATAGACAGGATTTACTTCGTTCCTGAAAAATATTTAAAAAATATGGCCCAAAAACTAAACTGATTTTATTTTGCAACAGTAAATTATAATAAGATAATAATTAAAATAATTTTTAGGAAATTTCCATTTTTTGGAATCTATGTTCTCATGTTCTCTGACGTACTTCAGACTTTCCTCAAGGTTTGTTTTTATTAAACAAAAATGGCGCGAAAATTTACTTTTATGTTTTAGGTTTCTGTAATTATTGCTTTGTTTGTTCTGGCTTTCTCTTTCGGGTTCTATGCTTTAGTCGCAGATCAAGCACCTTTCGGGTAAACTTTTTTTATTAATCTTCAACTTAAATGTCTGAATACGTTCTTGAAGATTTTCTTTTTGTTCTATCTGAAAATTTCTTATTTATTGTTATGTGTTCTCTGCAGATTTATGCAGCAGGAACACAAAAGAAATTGTCAGAACTTAGAATCAAGAATTCCAACTGAAAAACGACGATATCTTCCATTTTGTATTGTGAATCGGGCATGCAGCTCACTAGTTGGGGGGGGGGGGGGTCACTGGAAATTATGTCTAACATAATGAAGGTTATAGATAAAAATAAAGTAAAAAACTACAAAATATTTTCAGAAATGGTTGGTATTCCATAATGAAAACGTTTGTGATGACTATTGGAGAATTAGAATATGCAGATCTATTCTTTGCTGATGAAAGTGGCGGCAATAATACTTCTGTTACCTATGAGTAAAATATTTGTTGATTTATTATTTAACAATTAAAAAAAAATATTTTTCAACCTTAAAAATAGTTTTTAACCAAATGTTTATTATAGGTTATCTACTTTTGCTTTCTTTTTTGTGTTTGTAATAATTATGCCAATTATCATTACAAATCTTCTTGTTGGGCTGGCGGTTGATGATATACAATCTGTTCAAGAGAATGCAGTACTTCAGCGCCTAGCAATGCAGGTTTTATTTACCTCTTTTTGAACATTAGGGGCAGATCTGCACTCTAAGAAATGTCGAATTTTCATCTTACAAAATTTGTACTTGGTAGCATCATTCATCACATGTTGATGAATGATAAGTTTTATCCAAAAAATTTGACAAATAATGCTTCCAAGTTTTATTTGGCTCCGGTGCGGTGCTCCAAACAAATTATGTTAGATAAAAATTTAACATTTCTTCGTTTTCTGAAGTTGCTTCGTTCGTTTTTAAGACTTATAAGGTTTCTGGACTTTTTAAAGGTACCACAGCATTTTAAAAGGTACCACAGTATTTTAAAAGGTACCACATTATTTTAAAAGGTACTATAGCATATTAAAAGGTACCACAGCATTTTAAAAGGTACCACAGCATTTTAAAAGGTACTACAGCATTTTAAAAGGTACTACAACATTTTAAAAGATACCACAGAATTTTAAAAGGTACCACAGCATTTTAAAAGGAACCACATCATTTTAAAATGTACCACAGCAGTTTAAAAGGTACCACAACATTTTAAAAGATACCACAGCATTTTAAAAGGAACCACAGCATTTTAAAAGGAACCACATTATTTTAAAAAGTGCCACAGCATTTTGAAAGGTACCACAGCATTTTGAAAGTTACCACAGCATTTTAAAAGGTATCACAGCATTTTAAAAGGTACCACAGCATTTTAAAAGGTACCACAGCATTTTAAAAGGTACCGCAGCATTTTAAAAGGAACCACAGCATTTTAAAAGAAACCACAGCATTATAAAAGGTGCCAGAGCATTTTAAAAGGTACCACAGCATTTTAAAAGGTACCACAGCATTTAAAAGGTTCCAGAACATTTAAAAAGTTTTTACAAATTTTCCACAAATTTGAGAAATTTTACAAAACTCTTCATTTTAAACATTTCTTTTTCTGACCTTTGACAACCCTTTAAAAGTCCAAAACTTACGAAGCTAAGTTACCAACATTAAATTGAAAGCTAAAAAAAATTATATTCCTCTCCTTTATTAGATTATTAATAGTTATGCATTCCTATATTGTAGCCACGAAAGAACTTCAAAAGTACACTTTTTATAACAAGTTGTACTGTACCATTGCTCAAAAAAGCAAGGCAAGGGTGGACTAAAAATTTAATTTTTTATCAAATTTTCTTCACATATATTAGAAAAAAAATTTCCTTAAGGTTGAATTGAACCTGAGTGTTGAGACAATGCTGCCAGAGTTTGTAAGACGAAGATTGTTAAGAAGATTTGAGAAATTTTATCCAAATAGACCAAGAAGTATAATATCAAGGGTAAAATAATTCAGATCTACTTAATTTTTATTTTTAAATGTGACCATTTTTTCTCCACAAATCTTAATAAACTAGCTAAAAGTAGCTGAAAAATTAAATGATATCAAACTTTAAAACAATTAAAGGCGTTAGTTTATGAACACCAGAATTGTATAAATTAGCCCAAAAGAAATTGAATTCTTGCCACCGATGTCGATGACCTTTGATATTTCAAACCATAAATTCTGTTAGATCAAATAAGTTTGAAATATCAAAGGTTTACACCATCAGATTGCAGATATGTAGGGAATAGGAAATTTGAGTTTGTGGGCAGAATTCAGGTCCTTTATTTTTTTTGGTTAATCAGAGGCCTAATTTAAAGAAGTTGACCCGCGGCTAAAATACGGTTTTATCGACTTAGAATTCCGTGTTTCAAGATTTAAGCGGCAGCTTGATTGAATCCGGTTTTGGAGGATTTGAGGCACGGCTCAAATTCATCAAATTCGGACTCTGCACTATGTTTTTATCTAAATGGATAAACTGTGAGCAATTCCTCCAAAAAAGGACAATGTTGAAGTATTTAAAAAATTACTTTTAGTTTAAAGAAGTTTTGATTAATGACAAGCCATATATATTTTTTGGACTTATGGAACTTTTTAAGCTTTCTATAAACCGTTTTTTTCATATTTGAATATTTCTTTTAGATATTTTCTGATGAAATAAATTTGACAAATGATTTGACCGAAGGGACGGAATCAGATACTGAAATACTGGCCAGCAATCAGGTTTAGACTTTATTAACATTTCAAGGGACGAAATCAGATACTGAAATACTGGCCAGCAATCAGGTTTAGACTTTATAAACATTTCAAGGGACGGAATCAGATACTGAAATACTGGCCAGTAATCAGGTTTAGACTTTATTAATATTTCAAGGGAAGCTTCACTAAATTAAATAAAAGATAGCATAGTACATGAGCAAGCAATTACACATGAACTAATTACTCTCGCCTCTAATTCTAACTTTATTATCTTGAAGGTCTGAGTTTCTTCTCAGATTTAATAGGAACTTTCAGGGAAAAAATGGACAAACTTGATTCACATGCCCTTAAATCTTCCTAATTATTGAGTTGATAAAGGTTTCAAGTGTACTTTTGTGGAAAAATATGCTCACAGGATCTATTTGTAAAATCTTTTTACCTGAATTTATTGTTAACGTTTCTAAATCTATTTATTTATCTTAATCATTATATATCTATTTAACAATAATCGTTATAAATTTATTCAAAATCTGAATCGTTAAACATATTTTTATAAATCTGAATTGTTATACATCTAATTATAAATCTGAATCGTTATACATCTATTTATAAATATGAATCGTCATAAATATATTTATAAATCTGAATTGTTATACATCTGTTTATAAATCTGAATTGTTATGAATCTTTTCATAAATCTGAATTGTTACACATCTATTTATAAATCTGAATTGTTAAAATCTATTCATAAATCAGAATTGTTACACATCTATTTATTAATCTGAATTGTTATATCTATTCATAAATCTGAATTGTTACACATCTATTTATAAATCTGAATTGTTATAATCTATTCATAAATCTGAATTGTTATAATCTATTCATAAATCTGAATTTTTATAATCTATTCATAAATCTGAATTGTTACACATCTATTTATAAATCTGAATTGTTATACATCTATTTATAAATCTGAATCGCTATAAATCTATTTATAAATCTGAATCGTTATACATTTATTCATAAAGCTGAATCGTTATACATAAATTTATAAATCTGAATCGTTATACATTTTTTTATAAATCTGAATCGTTATACATCTATTTATAAAGCTGAATCGTTATACATCTATTTACAATTCTGAATCGTTATAAATTTTTTTATAAATCTGAATCGTTATACATCTATTTATAAATCTGAATCGTTATACATCAATTTATAAATCTGAATCGTTATACATATATTTATAAATCTGAATCGTTATACATTTATTCATAAATCTGAATCGTTATACATCTTTTCATTAATCTGAATTGTTATACATCTAATTATAAATCTGAATCGTTATACATCTATTTATAAATCTGAGTCGTTATAAATCTATTTATAAATCTGAATCGCTATACATCTATTTATAAATCTGAATCGTTATAAATATATTTATAAGTCTGAATTGTTATACATCTATTTATAAATCTGAATCGTTATACAGCTATTTATAAATCTGAATCGTTATAAATCTATTTAAAAATTTGAATTGTTATGCATCTATTTATAAATCTGAATCGTTACAAATCTATTCATAAATCTGAATTGTTTCACATCTGTTTATAAATCTGAATTGTTATAATCTATTCATAAATCTGAATTGTTACACATCTATGTATAAATCTGAATTGTTATAATCTATTCATAAATCTGAATTGTTATAATCTATTCATAAATCTGAATTGTTACACATCTATTTATAAATCTGAATTGTTACACATATGTTTATAAATCTGAATTGTTATAAATTTATTCATAAATCTGAATTGTTACACATCTATTTATAAATCTGAATTGTTATAATTTATTCATAAATCTGAATTGTTACACATCTATTCTTAAATCTGAATTGTTATAATCTATTCATAAATCTGAATTGTTATAATCTATTTATAAATCTGAATTGTTACACATATATTCATAAATCTGAATTGTTATAATCTATTCATAAATCTGAATTGTTATAATCTATTCATAAATCTGAATTGTTATACATCTAATTATAAATCTGAATCGTTATAAATTAATTTATAAATCTGAATTGTTACATATCTATTTATAAATCTGAATTGTTATACATCTATTTATAAAATTTTATTTTATACTGGTCACGTGATTTCCGTCTGTATCACGTGACAATGATACTGCTTTGCCAGTAGATGAAACTCTGGTGACGTAATATATGTAATACTATTATCAATTGTATTTATTAAAAATGTAAAATAGAAATTAAAAAATTATGATAGGAGTGAACCTGAGATTCTCAGGCTCCTGTGGGATATTGTCGTTTTCAGATTAGTTGCATATTTGTTGAATCTGTTTAATACTACAAAATTTATACAAAATTGCATATATATTATTTTTCGTATAATTTTGACACAGTTTTATATCAATTTCTCGGGACAGAAACATCAGATGTTTTATATGTATCGTTTAACACCCGAGATTCTCAGGTTTCATTCTATACCCCCTTTCATTTTCCTTTAGAGTCCCTTATATCCCAGTCCAGGGACAGGCCGGGAGCGGATATGGGCAAAATACCTTTTTATTATTCTTACTTTAATGAAATATGGAAATATATCCAATCTTGGGGCGGAATTAATCCCAGTATATTCAAGGATAGGGTCAGACCGGTACGAATTTAGTAGAGCTTTCATAATGCATGACATTCTGAGATGACAGTGAATTTCCTCGATAATTCAAGTCATCGTTGTGAAGCATTTGTGGTTCAAAAATTAACATTTTAATGTTCCACAAAAAAAAATGTTTTCTTAATTTAAAAACATTCGTGAGTAAGTAAGGTAAAGTAAAATGACAAGGCCTTAAGCGACACTTAACGATGAATTCTTGAAAACTGTTATAGAAGTCTGTGTCCGAATTTAATGAATTTAAGCCGCGTCTCAAATCCCCCAAAAACCGGTTTCAATTGAGCTCCGGCATCTTGAAAAATTAAATACAATTTTAAGTGGAACCAACCATGTTTGAGCCGCTGCTTAAATTTAAGCCGCGACTCAAATTCTTTAAATTCGGCCTCTGGATTACCAAATATTACAATGAGATATCTTTCATCTTTACTTAAACCTAGAGGCACAGTGCTACCCATAAAGGATGAGATTTCAAAGACGACTGTACGGAATAATACAATATTCATGATTCTCGGCAACTTTAATCTTCTTTCCTTCTTTGCCCAATCATTGAATTAGTTCTATAAAGAATAGACCACATGCAATGTAGAAAAAATAATTTAATCTTGAAATCGTCATATTTTAAAAGTTAAGGTCGTCTTTACAGTCTCATCCTTTCTGTGTTACCCTGTAGATGGAGCATCTTGTTGTGCTAAATTATATTAAAAACGTTTGTTTAGGATATACTGGAAATGAAGGGGCTGTTAAGAAAACTAACTAGTGAATAACTTGAGAATTTACTAGCACTGTGATTTTAAAGAAATAATATACTTAATATACCTTTTTTATTTGGAAATATTGATGTGCGATATGATAAAAAATGAAATCTAAAAAAATAAAAAAAAATAAACTTTTTCGTCAATTTCAATTATTTCCCCGTTGTTAAGATTATGTATTTTCTATGCATCTCTATTCTTCATTGCAAGCTTCATACAAATTAAAATATATTATTTTAGAATACAATCTTTTTCGTTTTCAACCGTTATTTTTTTTCAAAAACGGCTAATCCGTTTCGTTTAACGATTTAAAAAAATTACCGTGTTTGCCGTTCGTTAACGAAATCTTCCGATATTTTTCGAAAACCTCCGTTTCGTTAACGAAACTTTGTCCTTCCCCAAATTTCAGTCTACAAGATTATATTTTATGATTTTGTGACTTTTGCTCCATTTATCTGTAAATTCGTAAACGTGATTTAGAAAAAAATTACATAAAGAATTAATAAAGCAATAAAATGAAATTCAGCATTAAACGTTAAACGAATAAATTTATGAAATAACCTTAAAAATTATTTTATGATATTGGGTTTAACAAAAACCGTTTGCTTAGCTGTGATCATAACTCTTGAACCCCTGGACCGATTTGCCTCGAGGAATTCAGTAGAACCACTGGAATGTTTTTACCATGATTAACACATTTTAAGTATACAGAGGATAACTTTTTTTGGTTACCAAGCTTTGATATTTTAAATTCATGGTTTGAAATAACTAAATTCTACAATTGCAAAGACTAATAGTTTGTGGTAAAGACTCACCTCTATTTCATGTTGTTTATTTTGACATTTATGAGTTGTTTTTAAGTCTGGATTTAAGCCTACAGCAAGTGTTCTGAAAATGTCAAATATTTGAAAAACCTCACGCGCCAAGATTTTAAAAGATTTGAATAGATTTTGAACTTTAACTTTTATTCGAATACAATTGCCATATTCAATTTTTGTTTAAATTAATCTCTATTTTTTTTTGATTTGATTTTTATCTTGATGAAAATATAAGAACAGACAGATAAATAGATAGCAATTTGTTGGTCATATAAACGTTTAATTGCTGATATATACTTAGCTTTTAAACAGCTAGATCAGGCCTTGGAAATAAAAACTTCTATTATCATTTCTTAAATTAATTTAAAGGGGCGGTAGTTGATATTTCATGTAAATCTTTATAGAGAATGCCGGATTCACACGTGACCTTTAAAATTTCATTTTATCTGATCTGAGGCCAGGTATCGTTAAGAATCCGACATAAACCACTTTTGGAAAGAACTTGAAATTGCGTCTTATAGTTCCTTAAAATGTTATTTTTCCTTAAAGTTCAACTATGAGAATAAGACTAGCGAATGCACATAAATGCTGAATAATAAAACAGATGCCTACAGCAGTTTATGGGGCATGAAACACAGGGACTATACAGAAAAAAAGAGCACCATAGAGTTTTGAATCCATGGAGTTTAAAAACAGGGAGTATATACATTTTACAATAGAAAAATTGATGCGAATATGACTTTATCTTCCCGATCAGATCAAGGTTTCCACGACTTGTTAATCGGGACGTGTTTCTCTTTATATGGAGTGTCATTTAAAATCATGAAAACAGTCCCTTTAACCCTAAACAGGCTGGGGGGGGGAGCGTTTAGCGCTCCTCCCTGTAGTTTGTTCACCTATCACTCTCATTTTTGACACTATCACCGTGAAATTTTGTGACTTTTAAAAAATAGTAATTTAAAGGATTTTTTGTTAAACAATATGTTTTTCAATTTATAAGATTAGGGTACAGGGCGGAAAAAAGTACGATCTGTGAAAAAAATATCGTAAATAGCCCATAACTTGGTTGTGACTAAAGCTACAGATCTAAAAACTATATTTTTGAAAAGCCCTTGAAAAATGCATGTAGAAACATGTGTCACATTTTAATATTTGTTTAAAACAAAAAAAATAATTTTTTACCCTTTTTATAGGCATTCTTTTCCACCCTGCTTAGCACATGAACTATTAAAGCTATCGGTCTAATTTTTTTCTTTCTTTGAGCTGGCCATATAAAATTGGGCTATGAACATGCATTTCAACCCTATACATATTCTCTAAGGCCTTTTTCTATGGAGTGGCGCCACACGCCCCCCCCCAGGCTATACATAGATTCAGACCCGGCCAGTCTGGTTAAAGAACGATCGTCACGTGCCTCAATTTTGCAATGACACTAAGATTGTGAATAATGCTGGGCAAAGATCCGTTAACGAAACGGAGGTTTTCGAAAATTAACGGAAGATTCTGTTAACGAACGGCAAAACCCGTTAATGTTTATAACTATTAATTACTACTTAACCGGGAGGTTTAGAACCCCAAAAAGGTCTTGGAGGCCCTCGGCTAAGTGTTTTTCCCCTCAATTTAATTATCCTCATGAAAACTCCCGGTTAAGTAGTAATTTATCGTTTAATCTCCTGTTCCTGTTCAACGAAATAACCAACCTTAAATTCCCTCCTTTTTTAATTCCAGGGAGGATAATTACTTATCCTCCCTATTTACAGGGAGGATAATTACTTATCCTCCCTATTTACAGGGAGGATAATTACGTATCCTCCCTATTTACAGGGAGAATAATTACTTATCCTCCCTCTTTACAGGGAGGATAATTACTTATCCTCCCTCTGTGATCCATACAGATTTATCAAATAAATAGTTCTCTAATTCAATTTTATATTTACATTTATCACTCTCTTAATCATAAAAAAGGAGGGAATTTAAGGTTGGTTATTTCGTTGAACAGGAGATTAAATCTTTAACGAAAGATAACGCCGTCGATTTCATTAACCATTAACGAACCGAAACTAAGATTGTGAACTTCTTGATGAAGAAATATAACCAATTTTGAGCATTTTATTGGTAGCTGTTTTTAAGTTATGAAATGGGGGTAAAATCAGAAATGTTGTGCCATGATCTAGAAAAATATCACAAAGTATATATATTTTAAAAAATCGTTGGTGTATTTAGTACATGGGAACAGTTTTCCCCTGCCCCCCCCTTTTCCTTGCTGGGCCCCCCACCCATTTTGCAAAACTTTGCACAAATGTTCGCACCCAGACGTGTAAACTCAGTTTGAGCTAAGTACAAAGTTATCAGGCTCTGGTTGGGTGGTTCAGTGAGCAGAGTTTATGCACAAGAGAAACATCTTTCATACTTTAAACAAGCTTACTTTCAAACCAATTAAGTATGATTAAAGGGATTGTTTGCGAAAAACAAAAGGGGGTATAAATAAGCGCTTTTGATCGCTATACTTCTCTGTTGCGTCTATCAGGAGAAAATTGTTGAAAACGACTTATACTGAAGAACGTAGTAGCGTCCATACAAATTCTGAAAAAATTGCTACATTCAACTCGGATAGTAAAAAAACAATAAAATTGCAAATGCATGATTCAGATACCACAAAACATAGTTTTGACATTTCCAAGACATGGTCTTATGCTGTCGACATTCCTGAGATTTACCGAATTTCGACAATTTTGATTTGATCAAAATTGAAATCTGAACAAAAATTTAATATCTCCGGTAATATTGAATGATCAAAAAAGACAGACAACATTTTGGAAATTCCAGAGGAGAGTTGTGTCGTTATTGTTTTAAGAATCACACATGTTAAAGTGGTTAGACGACTCAATGTCACAAATAAATTCTAAGATAAAAGACGACTTTTATGTCGTTTTGCTTTTTTCATGTTCCGGTGTCATGAATGGTGCGGTCTCATGCATAGAGCGGACTCATGCATGGAGCGGACTCCCCCTAAAGTTTTCACCATTTCAATACAATGTTAGGCATAAAAAGCAAGGTTATGACATTTTCCGATATTTATTCATGTATTTTGATTTTAAAAACAAATAAAAAAGTAGTTATGTCTCAATTAAATATAAATTGTTAGATAAATTGAAAGAAAGGCGATATTCAAGAGGATATAACCTTTTTTGCATTGCCTTTACCCCTTTAAAATACATTTTAAAGAACTAAATGCGAAATTAAAATATGTCAACAAATAGGTTTTTATGTTTTAACATTGCTTCTTATGTCTAACATTGTGTTTTAAATGGTTAAAACTTTAGTGGTCGAGTCCGCCCCATGCAAGAGTCCGCTCCATGCAGGACACCTGTATTGGATCTAAAAAAGTGTTTAGTTTGACAAAGAAAAATGCTGTCTGTGTAAACTTTAACAGTTGGTAGTGTCAGTGTGAAGGTGGTCCCATTTTAGGTTTTAACAACATTAAACACATTTTACCATCAAATGTTCCAAAAATACTTTTTTTTAATAAACATTGGTGATGGAAATTGTTACATTATGGCTATTATATATTTGGTTTATTTGCTAACGCGTGGAAAGAAAAAATTAAATTTATACATAGTGAAAAAATCTTTTTTAAGTTTCCTTTTTTTAGACGCATGAGACAGGAAGATGAACCAGGACTGCTATCCACAGAATATGTATTTACAATATTTTAAAACGATAAATAATGTGAGCTAACAATGGTCATCAATTCTTTGACTTTTTTTTACATTGAAACCCTAAAATACACCTCTTAAAGAACGAACTGTGTATACTTAAAATGTTATAAACCTTAATTATTTCAAACTTAGATTTTATTGATAACAATTCATAATTTTAAATATCTAAAGCCAACGACATTGTGCCAAAAATTTGTGAGTATTTGAATACCAAAGTTTGTTGCAAAAACACAATTTTATTTGTCTCATTTCACTCATTTTTTAGTTGTTTGACATTTTTTGGTAAATAACTGGACTTGGAATAAAAGTTACATTTTTTGGCAGATTGTCAAAGAGTAGAGTCCAATTAATGCATGTAATGTTAACGTTAATATTTAATCAATTTTACGAAGAGGAGACGTCATTAGAAATAGGGTTAAGTCATTTCAAAATAGACATCTAGATAATTAAAGAAAAGTTCTGCCGCCCCCCCCCCCCCCCCATCCAGCATGTAAAGGGTTAAACACTTTGAAAATTAAGTTGTAAGGAATTAACGCGATTTATTTAATTACATAAATAAAGAAATAAATGTAAACTTTATTTCCCGGCCCAACAGTCTATCCGTCCAGGTCATGCAGGGTTAATCCTTGTAGTCTTATATAAAATTAATTTTTGTACTTCTCGCATCCATCCTCAATAAGTTAGGTACCGCGGGCCCAGTAGAGTCTAGGCGCGCGCACAGTGTAGGATACTTAGTACGCTGGAGTGATCACATAGTGCACACTAAACTTTAAAGATCCGGTTTCAACAGCATAAATATATAAATATATAAATATATATATATATATAAATATATAAATCAATTCAAATTTTCAAGTGCTTAGTTCAAATGGTTCAAATACTTTTATAATACGCTGTACTAGGATTAGTTTAATTTGTTTTTTTGTTTTCCATAGTTATTATCGAGGTGCTAAAGAATCGTAAGTTTAAACTATAGAAAGAGGTTGGAGAGGCACTACCTCACCCCAGTATAATCAGGGCGATATTTGGTTTCTTCTATCTTGGTCATGACAATATAACAAATAATAAAAATATATGCTTAATAGGTCAAATTGTGGTCGAAAGTCAAAGCTTCCTGTCATAAGGACGGTTAAACCGCGTGATTTGAAAGCCTTTTCTACATATTTAACAAAATACATAAATTTGTTGGATCAATAACTGAAATGAACTTGAAATATCTATGAATTGATCATTATATTATTAAGTTGGTTTCAGATGTTTAACAATTATGGCAAATAAAAGGTAAGGGGTTTTAAATGTATGTTTATATTGAACTAAAAATAAAAAAGATGATTTAACATTTCACATATGAACTCGTACAAGTGTTAATCATGTAAAATATTAAACAATTTTTTTTTAATCTTGGCGCTTAAAAAGACCCAATTTTAGATAAGCACAAATGTTAGAAATATATAATATTGGACAATTCATATTTTAATCTTGACAATTTCATTTATATGTAGAGTGGAATTCATTGAGTACTGTTGTGAATTTGGACATGTCTTTCTTTTTTTTAAACAGAGGGTTAGATGAACCTTTATTGATAATTCATTTAAACTTAGATCTTCAATTTTTCTTTTCTTGAAACCTGTTTTCATTCTTTAATTGATGATTTTAATAAATCCGAGCAATGTTGATTTGACATTATCTAGAAATCTACCTAAATCTATCTAGAAATTTATCCAGAAATCTATCTAAATATGTTTAGAAATATACAGAAATCTATCTAGAAATCTATCTTAATCTTTCTAGAAATATATCTCAATCTATCTAGAAATCTGTCTCAATCTATCTAGAAATCTATTTAAATATATTTAGAAATATATTTAGAAATCTATCTAGTAATCTATTTTATCTATCTTGAAATCTATTTAAATATATTTAGAAATATATCTAGAAATCTATCTAGAAATCCAACGAAATCTTTTTAGAAATCTCTTAAGAAATCTATCTAAATTAATCTAAATATGTCTAGAAATCTACTTAGAAATCTATCTAAATTAATCTAAATATGTCTAGAAATCTACTTAGAAATCTATCTAAATATATCTAAATATACATAGAAATATTTCTAGAAATCTATCTAAATCTTTATTTTAATTGAGTTTCTTACTTCAGGAAATCAGTCATTTGTTCTCTCCCACAAACCCAGATTTCAAGGTTTAAATCTGAAACACAAAAAGAGGATGGCGGCACTCATCACCTACCATCATCTCCATCCAACCTTGATTCCTATTCTAATCCATTTCCCCCTCCCTCGCCATTAATGAAATCTGAAACTGATGATTCCGATGCAAGTGCAGAGAGCTCTCTATCAGCTAGGACATCAGGAAGAACTCCTGTTATATCAATATCTACAAGATATAATGAACTCAATGTACATAATTTCCCTGCTCCTCGCCCATCTACCATACAGAGTTGCAGTACGTTTTCTGTACAGTCACATAGAAGTCAACAACCCAGTCCCAGTCCTGTTTCTCCACTAGCGTACAGTTCTACTGTTCATCCACCCAGTCCCAGTCCTGTTTCTCCACTAGCGTACAGTTCTACTGTTCAGCCACCCAGTCCCAGTCCTGTTTCTCCACTAGCGTACAGTTCTACTGTTCAGCCACCCAGTCCCAGTCCTGTTTCTCCACTAGCGTACAGTTCTACTGTTCAGCCACCCAGTCCCAGTCCTGTTTATACTTCACAAGCGTACAGTTCTACTGTTCAACAACCCAGTCCCAGTCATGTTTCTCCACTAGCGTACAGTTCTACTGTTCAGCCACCCAGTCCCAGTCCTGTTTCTCCACCCAATCAAACAAGAAACCCAAACGATCAAAATATTTCAATATCAGGTATAAAGAAAATTATAGCTTTCCCCATACTCATAATTCTTATATCTTTGCAGCCTGAAGTCTTAGATATTTTGCGTGATGAATTCTCTCGATCAAATAGTTTGAAATGTGAGAGGTTTACACTATTTCAAAGATATATACTGATCATTTTTTTTAACTGTGGTTTCTCTGTTATATGTTCTCACGGCTTTATATAGCAGAGTTAAAAAGATGGCAGAATTTAACACGTTTGAAGAAAAAAACAGTAATGGGTACACACAACTCTACTTACACGGGGGGTCAATTGAAGTTAAAGGGTCAGTCCTTTTCAAGTTGTCCAATTTGAGACTATTCAGTCGGTCAAGTAAATAATCAAATTCATGAAACCTTTTTTTTGACAGAAATTAAAAGATCTCTACAGTTTTGAGCAAAAAAATTAGCTTGGAATCCTAGTGATAGTGAGAACTTAACTTGGACTCCTAGTGATAGTAAGAAATTAGCTTGGAATCCTAGTGATAGTGAGAACTTAACTTGGACTCCTAGTGATAGTAAGAAATTAGCTTGGAATCCTAGTGATAATGAGAACTTAACTTGTAATCCTAGCGATAGTGAGAACTTAACTTGGAATCCTAGTGATAGTGAGAACTTAACTTGGAATCCTAGTGATAGTGAGAACTTAACTTGGAATCCTAGTGATAGTGAGCAATTAGCTTGGAATCCTAGTGATAGTGAGAAATTAGCTTGGAATCCTAGTGATAGTGAGAACTTAACTTGGACTACTAGTGATAGTGAGAACTTAACTTGGAATCCTAGTGATAGTAAGAAATTAGCTTGGAATCCTAGTTGAGAAATTAGCTTGGAATCCTAGTGATAGTGAGAAATTAGCTTGGAATCCTAGGGATAGTGAGAAGTTAGCTTGGAGTCTTAGTGATAGTGAGAAATTAGCTTGGAGTCTTAGTGATAGTGAGAAATTAGCTTGGAATTCTAGGGATAGTGAGAAATTAGCTTGGAATCCTAGTGATAGTGAGAAATTAGCTTAGAATTCTAGGGATAGTGAGAAATTAGCTTGGAGTCTTAATGATAGTGAGAAATTAGCTTGGAGTCTTAGTGATAGTGAGAAATTAGCTTGGAATCCAAGGGATAGTGAGAAATTAGCTTGGAATCCTAGTGATAGTGAGAAATTAGCTTGGAATCCTAGTGATAGTGAGAAATTAGCTTAGAATCCTAATTATGATAGTGAGAAATTAGCTTGGAATCCTAGTGATAGTGAGAAATTAGCTTGGAATCCTAGTGATAGTGAGAAATTAGCTTGGTATTCTAGGGATAGTGAGAAATTAGTTTGGAATTCTATTGATAGTGAGAAATTAGCTTAGAATCCTAGTGATAGTGAGAAATTAGCTTGGAATCCTAGTGATAGTGAGAAATTAGCTTGGCATTCTAGGGATAGTGAGAAATTAGCTTGGAATTCTAGTGATAGGGAGAAATTAGCTTGGAATTCTATTGATAGTGAGAAATTAGCTTAGAATCCTAGTGATAGTGAGAAATTAGCTTGGAATCCTAGTGATAGTGAGAAATTAGCTTAGAATTCTAGTGATAGTGAGAAATTAGCTTGGAATTCTAGTGATAGTGAGAAATTAGCTTGGAATCCTAGTGATAGTGAGAAATCATTTCATTGTTTTTTTTCAACAAATGCAAAAAAACTTTTTCGAAGATTTTTGCACTTGTTTAAAAGTACATATTGTCAGGTCCCTTCTCCGAGGTTCATCAATCGAATTTGATCTTAAAAATCCTGTCAGTTTCAGAGCTAAACCAGTCAAATATCCAGGTTATTATATTTATTATAGATTTATTAATATACACAGCGTCCCATATCATATTAGATCTCCAAGCTTTAACGCCAAAATAAACAAATACTCAAAAAAACTTGTATTTCCCGCAAGAAAATTATTACATTAGCCTTATTTAATTTTTCAAAATGATTTATTCTTCTGAAATTTTCTGATTAGTCCCAAAAATCGTATTTTAGACTGATTGATGATCTAAGATGATGTGGGACACCCTGTGTATTATAGAGTCAAGTTATATTTTAGAAAATCTGCAAAACATAATGCATTAAAATCGTGCAGTGTACACTGTACAAAAGTCAGTACAGTACACAAAAGACCCATTTCACTAAAAATTTGACTTTTCAAATTATTGGTACAAAATGTTTGCTTTATAGAATTTTTAAATACTCATAATCTCTTAATGTCGTCTTCCAATACTTTACTGAAGGTTTTAAGGATTTCTTATATTTTTAAATAAAGTAATATTTTTAATTTTGAGTGGAAAACCCCCCCCCCTCCCCCCAACAAAATTGTGATAAGGCGAAAAACAATGTGTGAAAAAATGGTTTTTAGTTAATTATATCAAACTTTTGAACAAATACAGTAAGAACCAGAAAACTCTGGAATGGGAAGACGAAAATTATGTAATGATTAAGCGTTTTTTATATAGTTTCAGAGCAAAATGTTTTACATGAAACAGACTTACTCGGGGGGGGGGGCTATTAGGGCTCAGGCCCCTCTGAATTAATAAAATCTATGGTTTCCAAGGGGAATTTCAGGCCCCATCGGATGCTAAGCCCCCCCCCCCGACAAATTCCTCATTGCGCCCCGTAATATCCATACTTTTTACTTTTAGGAAGATAATTTGTTGGATATATCACATTATCGGCCACCTACCTCCCCCTCCTCCAATCCGAATATCGTCAGTGTTATCAAACAAAATATTAAAACAAATGTGACAGAGACACCTAGCGGAGAAATTTCAAAGTATGATTCGGCTTCCGTACTAAAGCAGTCAATGTCTCCACCCTGTTCTCCTTTACAGCAACTATCTATTGATTCATCAAGATACAAAGGTAAAGAAAAAATCGGATGTAAACAATTCGATTTGTGATTCAAAATGGGAAAGTACATTATAGAGCTCTATATGAACTACACAAAATTCGTTCATTTTCGTTAAAAATGTTTTGCGAATTTCAATGTATTTTCGACGAAATTTTCGACCTCATTTTCGCGAAATTTTTGTTCAATTTTCTTTCGATAAAAATTGAAATTTTTCTATTTTGCATCAAGAAGATTGTATTTTTGCGAAAAAAAGATTATTTTGAAGGAAAGGTCGAACATTTTAACGAATTTCTCGAAAGTCTCGGACGAATTTCGCAAACATTTCGACCAAATTTCTCGAATTTCGTAAAAAAAATTTGACGAAAATTTTTGTTTTTGTACACATTTTCGTTTGATGAATGAAATTTTCGCGAAAGAGATTGAGGGAAAATTTGGAAACCCTATCCTGGTGTACAGTATGCCTTTCAGACTTTAGACGACTTTAGCTCTTTAATTATGATATATGAATAATTGACATTTGGGACGTTCAGATAGTCATTGTTCTATTTTGCAAAAGAAATAATGTATCTAAATTTCATAACTTTTCATTGATGCGTGAATTTGCACTTCAAGGGTTGAAAGGAGATTCGGAACATGAACGTCATGTAGGGTTTCCAGCGAACGAAGCGTTTCACGAAAAAATGGAAAATTTTTTGCATTTCTTGCGAGCGAACGAAATGCAAAAATGAAGCGAAATGATTGCGAAAAAATAAAATTTCGCGAAGAATGCGCAATATTCGCAAATAAATTATGCGAAAATTTCGAATTCAAATAATTCAAAAGTTTCACGAAAATAAATGCGAAAGTTTCACGAAAAATAATGCGAAAATTTTGCGAAAAAATGATCCGGCAATTTCGCGAAAGAAATGGAAATCGTGCAAAAATGATAAAAATTTCACAAAAAAAAACATAATTCTTAAAAACAAATGCAAAGTTTTTCGAAAAAGTTGCGAAAATGCATTAAAAAAGACTAAATTTTGAGAAAACAAGACTTGTTTTCAAAGAGGGATTTAACCGCGAGCCCAATTGATCGATTATCACAAAATATAAGTATAGATTCAAGAACGGCTAGGAGACAGACATCAGACAATTCATAGATTTTCTTGAAAATACGAAATTTTAGCATTATTTTTTCGCGACATTTTCGCATTATTTTTTCGCGAAATTTTAGCATTATTTTTATCGCGAAATGCTCGCCTTATTTTTTGCGAAATTTTCGCATTTTTTCGCGAAAATGAAACGAAATGGTCGCGATAAAAATAATCAATGGAAACCCTAACCTCATGTCACTTCAAATGTTATTCCCTTAAAGTTGTATTTTCAGGGTGTATAAGAAGGGGGACAACAACCAAAGAATTTGAAAAGGTTGTAAAAAAAGAAATTAAAAATGCTTTAAAAAAAGAATGTGAAACTGAAGTTAACGAAGACGAAGGGAACTCATCCAAGAATGAAAAGAAGAAAGCAAGGTTTAAAGATAGGTAAATACTTTTAAATAGATTAACTCCATCATTATAGTTTAATATGTTTTAGCCAGCCTAGTTCTGTTGTATTCAAGCAGCTACTTATTATATATTACTTTTTTACTGCACCTAACCTATAAATTTTAATTATACATATCTAAGTTTGGGAACCCAACTTTGTCTGGAAACTAAACTTTCTTTAAGAATTCAATTCTCGAACCAAGCTCAGAGCATCCCTGGGGTTCTACTTAGTTCTCTTTTCAAAATTTGAGGTGAATCGGTCAAGGTATGATCATGTCGTTCAAAATATGATCATTTCGTTCAAAATGTGATCATGTCGTTCAAGGTGTAATCATGTTGTTCAAGGTGTTATCATGTCGTTCAAGGTGTGATCATAAATTAGGAATGTTAATAAATGTCTTGTTACAAAGACATTATTAATATAATGATATATATATGATATATAATCATGATATATATATGATATATAATCATGATATACTATTAATATATATCTATGTATCTATATCTATATCTATATCTATATATCCATAAGTTCTAATCTCTGTTTGGGTGTCTGTTTGTTTGTTTGTCCGATCATAACGCAGGAACTCCTGGACCGATTCGCCTCAAATTTAATTGGGAAACTAGGGAAGAGCACGGGAATGTTCTGAGCTCGGTTTTGAAATTCTAAGTCGAGTGAATCGACTTTTGTCGGGAAAAATAGTTAAAATCGTAGTTTACGACAAAGTGCGGGTAATCAGTGAAACGTTGGGTTCCCAGGCTAGTATACTTTAAAATATAATGTACAATACATACCATTCACAACATAGTTGGTTACAGGGAAGGGGGTGCAGTAGTCCATCACCCCCCCCCCCTCCCTGAGTTAAATCAAGGGGTTTAGCAATTTGTTTTATTCATTTTCTTATATTCACTATTTCCTATGCAAATCTTTTTTCTTTCCTTGCCAAATTAGTTTGTCGCGGAAGAGTATTTTCAAACCTTTAGATCGTCACATTATGAAGTTTAAAAGTCTCATCCTTTGTGTATAACCCTGTAATAGTCAATGGGATATCTTCTTTTTTTATGATATTATTAGTTTTTATGGCAGTTTGGTTCATACACATGTACGTGTCGTCACTGGTCCATTGCAAGCACCGACTTACTTTTAATTAGTATATTGCAAGCTGTACAGTACACATAAACACATTTAAGTCAAAATGGCACCTTAAAATCATGTAGTGTAGAGTAAATTAATTAAAAATAAATAAAAATATTTTCTAAATTGGAACATTAAACAGAGAATGCATGTTTTAGGCCGAAGTGTGTTACATGTTCAGTTTGTGGAGACAAAGCGATAAACCATGTTCATTACGGAGGTAACTAAACTTTAAGAACAAACATTTCCAAAAATTAATGTATGTTTAAAACTTAGGAGGGCCAGCCATTTAAAACAGCCAGAATTGTAGCCCTGGCCCAATACCATTTATATATAAATTATACAATGTAAGACGCATATTTTGGGATTTTAGCCGACATAAATATCTATCTAAATCATTCTAAATGGTTTTCAATTTTTGTGTACTCAACCTTACTACAACAGTTCATTTAAACCCTTCATCTAATCAATTTAAAATATATTGGTCTTATTTAAAAAGTGTTAAATATTAGTATTTTTTTCATTGTTTCTGAACTGCCTGCAGGCTGCAGTAGACCTGCAGACAAAGATTTAAGTTTACCGTTATGAATCTGAATACTTTTCTTATTGGACCAAATTTGCTACATTTTGTGGGTTCCCTGTGGTGGGGTAAAGTAGATTAAACAATTTTTTTCAATTATAATTTTTTTTCTCAAAAGTCAAAAATATTCGATTTTTTTATTTAACGGGCAATGCCGGCCAATTCAGGTAGTTACTATTCTAATTAAAGAAATTTCGAGGTCATATTGTTTAAAAAATAAAGGGGGAAGGGGGAGTCAAACACCCCACCCCCCCGGAAAGCCTCATATGTGTTTATGAGCGTTTATATATCCCCAAATTGTATACAGTGAGAAAGGGCAGCAACTTGTAATAGAAGTTATATCTCACCATTATTTATTTCGTTAAGTTCAAATTTTGATAAAAATCCTAGTTCTATACTGAATTTGGGAAATGAAAAATGTAAAAAAAAAGAATTTCGAATAACAATTCCAAATTGTTAATTTCAGTTTATCATAGCTGTGGGTTACCCACAAAGGATAAACTTCAAAGATGACTGTATAGAATTTATTAACCGTTTTTCGTACATTCATGGTTTCCTTCAGCTATAATTTTGATATCTTCCTTTGCCAAATCATCTCTATAACCACAGCAAACAAACAAACAGAGATTTTTTTTAAGATCTAGATATTTATTATCTCCGTATCGAGATTATATTAAGGTATACAAAATTGTTTATATTGATTTTACAAAAAACTATTTTACGATAGTGGCATGTACACACTACACAGTACACACATTTGTAAATTAAACAAGAAAAAAACAAACAGAGATTACAATTATTGTAGCTACTGAGGATCGTCATGATAGACGTGAAACATTATGTTTAGTATAATTCTTTTTTTAATAAAAATGTGAAGTTAAAAACTGAAATATATATATATATAGATATATATATAGATGTAGCTTAATATGTACGACTACGTGCACACTCCATAATATGTACACAAAAAAACCCAAATTTTTCTAAAATTTTACAGTTTTGCCCGCTCGCCTGCTGTACTCAGTATGCTGAATCTCTATAAATATCTACTCTGTGCTTCTTACCCTTTCCTGTAGGGTTCAAGAATAACATAGTTTATTCAATATACACACTGTACACAATAATACTTTACAAGTTTCCAAAAGATATTCAGCCGAGCCTGGTATTTAAGAGAGTAAAGTTGAACAAAACTCTCAAGTTTCCTTTTTAAAGAATCAAAATAGAATGAGATTTCCACATTTTCTTTTGAAAATTGAGGATTTTTATTTGTGGTTTCTTAATACAGGGACTAGTGGATTTCTGCTTCAGAATACATATAGTGGATATTGTTACCAAGCAATAAAAAGCGACTATACATATTTGAGTTTGAAAGGTTTCGTTATGGTGAGATTTCAACGCTGAAACAAACAATAGGCACTAGCTGGAGCCAGGAGAGCTGGTGTGACGCCAATAAATATTAAACTTAGGTTTCAAGCTGAGATAGGCGCAGGCTTAAACCTTTCCGCCCTAGTTAATACAGACCATGGAAGAATGGGGGGGGGGAGGGGGGTTCCTCCGTTATTAAAAACATATATATTAATTTAATTAATGTGTAAAAAACATGCTCTAATGAAAAAAATTTTGCAATATTTTTTTATTGTTAAGTTCATCGACTGCAGTTCTTCAATAAAGAGGGCTGCCAAAACTTGTTCTTCCGAATTCCAAGCTAAGAGCATTCTTGAGTGTTATAAACACCCTTACACACAGCTAAAGACAGCCAGAGATTACTAATTTATATATGTAGGCATAATGTAGAAATTAAGTAAAAGTACATGCTTTTAATTGGTCACTTTTGCAAACAAATTATGTATACTTCACGTATTAAAAATAAAATATTAAATGTGTATAATGTATTTACTATAAACTATATATACTGAACTATACCATACTATATAATGTAAAGTTTTTACACATAAAGTTGTAATACAAAATTGAACTTTGTTTCAAATAAATACGTAGCATGATTAGCTTAATCATGCTATATAAATGACGTATTCCCTAATTACGTCATTTCTTATCTAGCTATGCTGTAAATTGACGGACATCTAAATTGCATCTATTTTAACTGTGCTGTAAAAACGTAACATGATATCTTAATCATGTGATATAGATATGTAAAACACGTTATTCATTTGAACAGCGCGTCAAATATATTGTAATTGCGTTTGTTAACTTTAACTTGGTAACATTGAATCCTTAAATACATCAAGACAGGGAACGATTACTCTCACTCAGTAAACAGTAAATTCAGTTCATTTAAATTGGTAAAAAGGATTATATCATTTAAGATTATGTGTATTTGATGTTATCAAAACATATAGTTTTACCAGTTGATTGAAATTGTTAAATAAAAAAGATCCTGTGTTAACTGCAAAGGAATTGAGTCTTTGCCACGAAGTATGATTTTTTAATCCCTATATCTCTGTAACCCGATGACGTAGACCTTAGATATTTCAAACTCATGATTTATGTTAGATCAAACAATCTAAATGTGAAATATCAAAGGTTTACACAAAAATTTTGTTTGTAAAAAAGACTCAATTCCTTTGCTGTATATTTCAAGTTCATTGGAATATTTGTAAAAATATCTTTAGTCTCACTGTCGTCTTCTTATTCCATAGTTTTAGTGCAGGTCTCAGTTTGCATGGCATCAGTTTGCATGGCATCAGTTTGCAAAGCTGCAAACTGATGCCATGAATAATAAGAATGCGATTTATTCAAAACAGAGGAAAAGAATTTGATAATAATATTTTAAATCAGTATAACTTGGTACATATCAGTATATTGCATTCATGCCTTTCCAGAGAATATTTTTTTATATTCTTATTTAATTTCATAATTTTTAAAAATTTTAATTCATGATATTTTTTCAGGTTTATGTTGTTATTCTTGTAAAGCTTTCTTCAGAAGAGCAGTCACGTCCAAACACCAAGACAAAATTAGTAGGTAAATAAGTTTACCCATTTTTTAATTGTTTCAAAACATTTTTTTTTTACTTTTTATCAAAATAAAATTGGTTAATCTTTCCTGAAATCCCATTAATCCCTAAAATTTAAAATTTAAAATTCAAATAAATTTTGTTTGAAGTATTTAATTTAAAGAATTGTTAAAAGAATCGATTTTTTGCAACAAAGGAATTGAGTCTTTGCCACAACTCTGATTTTATAATCCCTATATCTTTGGAACCCAATGTCGTAAATCTTTGATATTTCAAACTTGTATTATTTGAACAGAATTCATAGTTTGAAATATCTAAGGTCTACGACATTGGAATCCGAAGATATAGGATTTAGAAAAGCAGAATTTGTGGCAAAGACTCAATTCCTTTGGAATCTGAAGTTAAGTTTGATATTTCTAAGCTGACTTCGAAGTTAAAAAAAAACCAAAAGTCTACGATATTGGGTTGGAAAGATAAAGGGATTAGAAAATTTAATTTTATTGCAAAAAAATAATTCCTTTTTTCAAAGAAGTATCTAATATTATTTTTATTTCACAAAGATGCCGCGGGGTTGGGCGAGAATGTAGATTTGATAAGAATAAATAATTTATAAATAAAAATTAACTAACTTTTAATTAACTTAACAATCAATCTAATTTCAAAACTAACTTGCAAAAATAATATTTATTCCGTTTTGGTTTTAAACTTGCAAAAATAATATTTATTCCGTTTTGGTTTTAAACTTGCAAAAAAAACTTGCATACACTATACAGTGTCGGTTTTAAACTTGCAAAAAAACGTGTATACACTATACTGTGTCGGTTTTAAACTTGCAAAAAAACCGTGTATACACTATACTGTGTTGGTTTTAAACTTGCAAAAATTCTTGCATACACTATACAGTGTTGGTTTTAAATTTTAAAAATAATATGTAAATAAGAACATAAGATTTCAGAGAAGATTTCTTTCAATCATTTTTCTTCTCTCTAACATATATAATGCATTTGATGGGTTTTCGCCAAAATTATTAAACATCGAAAAGACTTTATTTAAGATAGTTAAGAACTTAAGAACCTTTTAGTACAAAAAAAAACATTTAAAATAAAAAAATAAGAATTAATAATATGTGTCAGCGTCTATTGTATAGCTAGAGATTGAAAAAAAAACTTTTATAAAAATGTTATTTAAGATTTTATTTAAAAAACAAAAGTTTCCAATGCATGTTTAGGTTTAATGCCTGTCAGAAAATTGGTATGAAGAAATATTTAGTGCTCTCGTCTTCTTATTCCATAGTTTTAGTGCAGGTCTC